ATAGCTGCCCCATGTGGTTTATCGTAAATATCATTGTCAACAGATTTTCTTTTCTTAATTAGAAACGTATCCATTTTAGTGGCATTTACTACAACTCAATCAAAAATTGTGTAAATTATAAAAGTTATAACAGTACTTGAACAGCACCAACCTTTGTCTGTGGGATTGGAGGGGAGTATTTTCATGCGACATGCCTAGGGACTAAAGGCGACACACCAGTGTGCCCTGACACACAGTTTGGAAAGCTCTGTGCTAGGGTATAGGCAGCCTAATTTACATTTCTCATTTTTTTCTGTTTTGCTCTCAACACATGCTTAATATGTGATCCTGGAAGCAATCATTTACCCTGCCTGTTTTATGTAAGCACACAGTTACAGTACAGTCACTTAGAGTACAATCACAGTTACAGTACAGTCACTTCCATTATTTTTTAGGTCAAGTTTTATTGCATTGTTTGTTGCAGTCACATTGCCACAACCTGAACATTTCTCCAGCTCTGCCTCACCATCCTCCTAATGTCAGTGTTGTAAAATAATGTCCATTAAGACAGAAAACAAGAAAATGAGTGGATGGGCTGATATCCCATAAAAATCTATATAAATAAAAATCTAATGTTCATTTGTGGGATTAACATAACTCAAAAACCACTGGACAAATTGACACCGTCACCACCCCCAGCTCCTTCAAGGTCAAGCCAGTCACTTCAAGGATGCCATCCATCCATCTTGCCCTTGATTGGCCTCTCTTCCTGTTTCTTAAGATACATTTTAGATTTTGGAATCTTCATATCATTAGTTAAACATCTCCCCAGTTTTTTTGGTAGTAAAAAACTATGGACAGATAGGGAGAGGATTGTATTAGGTAGAATCCAGCCAGCCGTAATGGGTGACCAGAAGAAATAATGTTTCTTGAAGCAGATGAATCTTGGGTTAATAATAACGATGTTGAAAATCCTGAAGCAATCTTTTGAACAATTACTTACCTTAGGTTCAGATCAGAAACATTAACATCTATATTTATTGAGGTGCAGTAATAAAGCCAAATGTACCTTTTCAGAAAGCACTGCTACAAGTCCATTATAACTGCTTTGCATAATGTGGTGATTTTTCTGCCTGTCACTATGTTGTGGGGAGAAGTAATCTGTGAACATCTCATGGTTGTATGTGTCAATGTCATTTTGGTAATCGTCCTCTGTTAGGTTTATGCCTGTGATTTCTCACAATCCAACAACTGTGTGTTAATATACTAAAGATTCAGTACAACCACCAGTGGCCAATATGGTAGTCACTGGTCAATATGGTTATGTTGAATCTTTAGTATATTAACCATGTGTGTGTATATGTTAGTGTGCTAAAGATTCAATATAACGAATGGCCAATACATTAGCTGTAAGTTTTTTAGTTTAACACTTTTGTTACAGGGGTAATTTATAAGGTATACTGTGGTCGTTGCAGTCTAATACTCATGGGTGCATTCTTCGTAGAAGACAAAAGGTTCAATAAAGGTGATCCTTTGGAGTTTTATCATAACTGTGTCTTTCAAATGAGTAAGTGACCAAAATCCTTGTGGGGTTTTATGTGTTCTCTGATTTTCTTTTATGTGATCATTGGATAGCGAGCTGTAGTATTCCATTCTTCAAGTTGAATTTTCTAAAATTTTATTAATGTATTGAAACATGATAGCTATGTGTAAATATGTGAAAGGATGTCACATATACTTCATAAAGGAGCAGGAAGAAGGAACAGGCTTGTTGTCCCTGCCCTGGAGAATAGGACTCAGAGAAATGGGTTCAAATTACAGGAAATGAGATTCCACCTGAATATTAGGAAGAACTTCCTGGCTGTAAGAGCTGTTCAGCAGTGGAATTCTCTGCCTCGGAGTGTGATGGAAGCTCCTTCTTTGGAAGCTTTTAAACAGGCTGGATAGCCATGTATTGGGGGTACTTTTATTGTGCTTTTTCTTGCATGGCAGGGGGTTGGACTAGATAAAATAGAATAGAATAACTTTATTTTCATTGTACATTGTACAACGAAATTAAATGCTTTTCCCACCACACATCACAACACAAAACAACACTTCATGACCCATGATGGCCCATGCGGTCTCTTTCTACTCATTGATTCTATGATACTAGGTGTAATTTGCTCTTTAGAATTTTCTCTGGGATTGAGCACTATCAACTTAACTGTCCAATTTGAAATTTTCTGAGAAGAAATCTGCCAAAATTTTCATACATGAACCGATTTGAATGTGGTGGTCTGTCATTGAGCGCATTTGTGTTATGAAGCTTGTAGATGATGGAGTGAAACATGTGTTTCCCTTGCATCCTTTACTTCAAGGTTAGAACTAGTTTGGCTTTGCATAATCTAATTTGCTCCAGTTGGTTGTATTTCTTTCAGATTATATATGATAAATTGTATTAATTGAACTGTTTATATTTGAAAGCCACTTAAAGAAGGTTTTTTACAGTTCTGCCAGATATTGAAGTGTGTTGAGAGCTAGTTTCCACAGACATGAAGTTTAAAAAAAATAAGGATGCAGTCAACCAAGGATGCATTCTGTAATATATACTTTTTCTGCGGTTAAAGGTGGATATAGCAGAATAGTAGGGACTATAAAACTCAACTGAAAGTGACTGTCGTTTTTGAGGTTTTCCTTCATGTGTAACAGTAAAGCACATTTCTCTACAAATTAAAAAGTAGAACATCGTTGAGTGGCTCTAGCCTTTTGTTCTGGTTTTACATTGTACATTGTTAAAAGCTACAGAAAGCTTTCAACACAGGGAAGTATTAAAAATGTAACTTCTCATAGTCTAAAGCAGTCCATTTTGATATCTCACTCTGTTACATGAATAGAACAGCCTGAAAATAGCTGAAGAGGAATAAAGAGTACATCATATCTGAAGGACACATACTCACTTCTCATGAAAAGTTCAATGTGTATTTCCTCAAGATGAATAAGCTCCCTCACCTCATTTCAACGTTGCATCATCACCATATAAAGAAAGAGTTTGTGCCTTCTCTAGAAAATAGGAGAATTTAATGTGACCTGAATGTTAGTACTCTTGTAAGGAGAGCACTATGGCATATAATGCAGTAACAGGGGAGACTGTGAACCATATGTGGGTCACAGCCTAAATTTATGTGGTCTGCTTTATTGCCAGATTTGCCTTTACCTCCTTTCCCTCATTTAGGAGACTTGGCAGGAGAGTGAGTTGTGGACCAAGCACTATCAGAGGCAGAAGATGTCTCTATATCCCCATGCATAGCTGGGGGCATTAATCATGGCTAGAAGAGGAATTCTTACTGGGAGCAGCAGTAACTCTTTCAAATTGCAGGTGAAAGTAGTGAAATTGAAAATTTGAGAGAGCAACTCAGGTTTCTCGTGGGCTATTTGTGTTTTCTCCATGCAGCACTCTTCATCAGCTGTTGCTCTTTATGCCCCCGAAACAGACTCCCTAGCTAACTCTGCATAGCAGGATTTCAGTCCAGCTTTTCCCCTCTATTCCCACATTTGAAGGACTACAGCATTTCCATTATTGCAACTTCCCATGAGACCTTGAGTCTTATCTGGCCTGTGGTGAGGAAGGAAGGATGTTCAAGAAGTGGAAATTGTGTAGACGAGCCTGGAGTGATGAAAAGAGGGCAGAGCATTCTACCACTGTTGACAGTGCAGTTCCTATGTGTCAGTGGGGTTTTCTAGGGAAAGTCTTAATATCATCTTTGACAAAGAATGCATACCCATGAATAAAGAAGTCTCCAGCATATTTTTATGTTTTTCAGATTTCACAGAGGGGGTGCAGTAAATAATAGATGATAAACACGTGAAAAGTCTGTCTTCTGGAAACTTTGTGAAGACCTTGGATATTATTATTATTATTTATTTATTTATTTACAGTATTTGTATACCGCTTTTCTCACCCTGAGGGGGACTCAAAGCGGTTTACACATAAGTAATGGCAAAATTCAATGCCAGTACAGACAGTTACAATTATACACTACAATTAGACATAAATCAAGTTAAAAACAGTGCATCCACAAGCAATAAAACAATCATTAAAACAATAAAACAGTCTCATCCGTCAAATTGCTGTTCCAGTCATTGTCGTTCTGAAATGCTGCATACATTTACTTCTACTGCCCGAAGGCCTGGTCCCAAAACCATGATTTTAATTGTTTTCTAAAAGCCAGGAGGGAGGGAGCAGATCTTACCTCATTTGGGAGTGTGTTCCATAGGCAGGAAGCCACAGCCAAGAAGGCCCTGTCTCTCGTCCCTGCCAGATGCATCTGTGCTGTTGACAGGTGCAAAGCAGGGTCTCCCCGGATGATCTTAGATTACCGAAATATTTAAAGGCTGCTAATATGGAAACCTTTTCAGATTGGAAAGAATTTGAATTGGCAGCATGAGCCTTTTTTTTAATTTTGAGAGAGGAAATGTACATCAGGGGGGAGGCTGTATCGATTTCCCAAAGGTGCCTGCCTTTTTAGATTTATTCCTCAAAATGGAGTTGGGGGATGTGGTACTTGGCTGCCAACTCCTGAGTCCTTATTTAACCTTCATGGGGCTGGCTTGAGAGCTCTGTCTGCTCATGCAGCAGCTCTGCTCACCCATGCCAAAGGTGCCAATCCAAGCAAATGCCCCTTGTGTCACAAGCTGATTTAATTTTAGGCACAGTAATGCTCTACTTGGCATGTTTGGACTAATGTAAAAGCTTTCTCCGAGGGGCTGCCACCTGAGCCTTCTCCTGTAGAACTGTCAATGTGTTCTCTTGTGTTTCTAGTATGTTATATTGTGAGCCAGTTTTTTGGATTTCTAAGGCAACTCTGGGTTTCCCCATTGCTACAAGAAACTCTGGGCTGTTCCAACATGTCGATGACCAGTCATCTATATGGCAAGTCACTCTCTGAACCTTGCAGAACAATTATCTGAAACTGGGGAGTTTCTGATAAGTCAGTTGCCGTGATCATGATCATATTATCTCTTGTCTGCTTTTGATGCAGGTGATGGACCGATTGGAGTGATTCATTCCTCCCATTCACCACTGTTGAATCTGCCAGATTTCTGAAAACCCCTCAAGGCATTTCAATTTGATATGGTTAGCATTTCTCTTGAAGCAATTTCACCTCTATAGAATTTGGAGCTGTCATTGCCAAGCTGTAGTATTTGCAGATGTTTTAGTTCCTATGCTCAGAGAACTATAGTCTATTTGGATTTCTTAGACTGCATCAAATATAAGATGCTAAAGGGAATACCTCATGAAATTAAGAATTATGATTAGCACAAACGTTTGGGTTTAATTAAAGCAAAAGGCAGACTTAAATATATTTTCCCAGTTTTGCAAGGACATTTAAGACTAAAAGAGAGGCAAGATCTTGCTGTAGCTGCCATAATGCTGCCCCATGCTGTACTTGGTGCTTCCTTTGCTATATCGCTTTGCCTATTCATGTGCGATTTCATGGGGAAGTGATTATTTTTCCTCGGGCTCTCTTTAGTGCATGAGGTACACAAAAGGTAACCATTGTTGGAAAAGTAATTGTTAATGTAGTAAATACTGGGCAGAGAGAAAATGACATCTTGTTTTTGCAGTAATGAGAGTGATTATATCAGGATCACTGTGTTTCAGTAAAGGTAATGAGCCAGGATGCATATTATGATTAAACTACCTCTATTCCCACAGTTGCAGTCTTGCTCATGAGCAAATAAGAATCCAGCCACTGCTGATTTGAATATTGGAGCTTAGTATCAGTAACTCTTGTCTGAGGCAGATTCAAAGATAACTTTTATTGTGGTAGATGTTTTTGGAGATATTTTATGGGCATGGCACAAATTCTAGGCACCACAATTGAAGAGAGCTATTGACAAGCTGGAATGTGTCCAGAGGAGGGCGACTAAAATAATCAAGGGTCTGGAGAACAAGCCCTATGAGGAGCAGCTTAAAGAGCTGGGCATGTTTAGCCTGAAGAAGAGAAGGCTGAGAGGAGACATGATAGCCATGTATAAATATGAGAGAGGACGTCATAGGGAGGAGGGAGCAAGCTTGTTTTCTGCTGTCCTGGAGACTAGGATGTGGAACAATGGCTTCAAACTACAAGAAAGGGGATTCCATGTGAACATTAGGAAGAACTTCCTGACTGTGAGAGCTGTTCAGCAGTGGAACTCTCTGCCCCAGAGTGTGGTGGAGGCCCCTTCTTTGGAAGCTTTTAAACAGAGTCTGGATGGCCATCTGTTGGGGGTGCTTTGATTGCAATTTTCCTGCTTCTTGGCAGGGGGTTGGACTGGAAGGCCCACGAGGTCTCTTCCAACTCTATGATTCTATGATTGACAAGTTCATTAGAAACTAAAGGCACAAAAGAGATGTTTGAGAGCAGTACCACATCTCCTGCCTCGTCAGTTGTGCTGCATGTCTCTTGAAAGTGTTTCAGACAAGAGCCCTGTAAACCTGATAACAGATCTAGAGCCATTGAATGTCCTGAGCCCTTTCATCAATGCTTACCTTACTAAAATGTACCTTCTATTATTTGGACATACATACTGGAACCCAATTCCCCCCATGCCTAAAAATGAAATCCAGACCAAGAGCTAGAGGAGGTTATATTACAGGAAAGATAACATGGCATAGCCTGTATACAAGCAATTGATCTTCAAAATATGGAGAGTGTAACTTCATCCATATCTTCTCTCAAAACAGAGACATCTACAAAACAGACAGTGCTTGCTTACAATAACGAGCGCAATGGTCCCGTGGTATCTGCTGGGATACGAAAATCTGTGGATGCTCAAGTCCTCTTGTATATAATAGTAAAATGGTGTCCCTTATATAAAAATGGCAGAATTGAGTTTAGCTTTTATAATTTTTTTTTCATTTTCAAAGTGTGAATGATCATGTCTGTGGATACAGAATCTGTAGCTACAGAAGGCTTAACTTATCTAAGAAACAATCCATTCTAGCCTTCGATAACAGAGCAGATGAGCCAGTGCATCACATGTCTGCTAACCTGATATGGGGCTATGGCCCTCTAGTTGATTAGGGTTTCTTATATTAGGAAGAAACTTTGAAATTTTTGCCTGTTACCTGTACACTACCGGAGGTTTTATGAGTAAGTACATACTGTTCCTTGTAAACCAGTCATTTCCTCTTCTCTTCAGGTGATGATAGTATGAAACTGTCATACTACCCACATGACATTGCAATCATTTCAGGGATTGCATACTTTTGAATGCTGGTGATGCCAAGGGTGTGACTTTTTACTAGGATCAGAATGGGAGCAGGAAAAGGATTTGGGAAGGGGGAGACAGAATATTGTCCTATTGGGGGTTCAAGCAGATGAAACTGAAAGAGCTGTTCTGTTTCTTCCTGATTAAAAACATCCAGCTAAGTATGTTTTACTTTTTGAAAAGTTTACTTCACTCTAAAAGTGGTTGTGAGTATCTTTTAGCTTTTGTAACATGCTTTGAATATAGAAAAATATTCCCTTTTTTTGAGATGTGAAGGATTTAAAATTATGTCATAGGTGAGTGGTAGAAGTAAACATTAGCCTCAAGTATAGATATTTGTTTTAACATTTCTATATTTTCTATAATTTTAATATTGTAACAATAACTTATGTAATTGTAACATTTCTATAATTTCTATAATGGAAGAAGGTAGGGAGTTTCAGAAAAATATCTATTTATGTTTTATTTACTATTCTAAAGTTTTTGACTGTGTGGAATTGTGGCAAGTTCTTGGTGGTATGGGAATATCAAGTCACCTTGTCTGTCTCCTGAGGAATCTGTATAACGGCCAAGTAGCAACAGTAAGAACAGACCACAGAACAACAGACTGGTTCAAGTTGGGGAAAGGAGAACGGCAGTGCTGTATATTCTCACCCTGCTTATTCAACTTGTATGCAGAACACATCATGCAACGTGTGGAGCTTGATGAATCCAAGGTTGGAGTTAAAATTGCTGGAAGAAGCACTAACAACCTTAGCCATCCAGATGATACCACTTTGATGGCTGAAAGCAAGGAGGAGCTAAGGAGCCTTATAACCAAGGTGAAAGCAGAAAGTGCAAAAGCTGGGTTGCAGTTAAACATAAAAAAACTACGATTATTGCAACCAGACTGATTAATAACTGGCAAATAAAGGGAGAAAACATGGAGGCAGTGATAGACTTCGTATTTCTAGGCGCAAAGTGTACTGCAGATGCACACTGCAGCCAGGAAATCAGAAGTTTACTTCTTGGGAGGAAAGCAATGACCAGTCTCAATAAAATAGTGAAGAATAGAGACATCAAATTGGCAACGAAGATCTACATAGTTAAAGCAGTGGTATTCCCCGTAGTAACCTATGGATGCAAGAGCTGCACCAAATGGAAGGCTGAGCAAAGGAAAATAGATGCTTTTGGACTGTGGTGTTGGGGGGAAATTTCTGGGAGTACCTTGGACCACAAGAAGATCAACACCAGTCCATACTCCAGGAAATAATGCCCAGCTGCTCACTGGAGGGAAGGATGTTAGAGGCAAAGATGAAGTACTTTGGCCACATAATGAGAAGACAGTAAAGCTTGGAGAAGATGATGATGCTGGGGAAAATGGAAGGAAAAAGGAAGAGGAGCTGACCAAGGGCAAGATGGATGGATGTTATCCTTGAAGTGACTGGCTTGAAGGAGCTGGGGGTGGCGACAGCCAACAGTGGACTGGTCCATGATGTCATGAAAGTCGGAAGCGACTGAACAAATAAACGATATATTTTCTGAACTGGTGCTCTTACATCAAGCAAACAAAGCAAATCTCCAGGTTACAAAAGGGGAGCAATAGAAGTGATGAGCTATCTTTCGGCAGTGACTGAAAACGTGTATGTTTATTGTAGGTTAGGAAGCAAGAGACTAGCTGGTTTTTGTGGCATAGAATTATCTCACACCTACTAATTGGGACAAAATCTTTGATTATGCAAATTTAACTGGTCAACTAATTGATTAAAATGTAACAATTGATTTATGATAATGTTGCAGCTTTACTACTTAGATAAACTTGCAGTTTGCAAAGAAATGGAACAAAAATAATTCATAAAAAAGGTCAGTGAGCCTGCAAATGTCATGTAAAAAAGAAAAACAAACAAATAAATACAAGCTCATTAGACCCAGCTAGCTGAACGTTTGGGTAGATCACTTTCAGAACTAAGCATATTAATAGAGTGTGTCTGTGAACTGGAAAATTTCTCATCCTGTCCATTCCTAAAGTGATGGTTGAAATAGGTGGAAAAACCTACAGGTTTTTAGTTATTCAATGCTAGGTGTTATTTTTGACTAGTGTTTGAAAAAGGCTGGCGAAAATATGTGTTCTTCTATGTGAGTTGCCTTTATCAAGGATTTCAAAAAGACCAGCATTGCTGGCAATTCCTCGGTTGAAGTTACTGGGATTTCATCTTATCTTTGCCTGGAGCTGCTATGACTTCCTTGTTTTTGCACACATGTTCTGAAACTGGATGCATTCCAGTGGTGTTAGACTTTCCTGTTCGAAATAGTTCTGACTGGTAATTTGTCATTGGCTTCTGGCTCCTGACACATATCAGCTCTATACTATGGGGATGAGTTATGCTGTTTTCTGTATCGGCCTCTTCCAAAATGTTTCTGTTGTTATATGGTGACTGGAACTTCATGTTTGACTGTCAGGTTATGGGCAATCTGTACAGCTCTGCTGTATTAGCTAATACACAACTGTGTGTGTTGAAACCTGAATTTGATTAGTTTTCCCAATTAGTAACACATAGTTAAGGCTTTCTCTGGAAATGCAAGGAAGAATCTTGCAAACTCTTACCTGGCAACTGCATAGTCCCAAATCATCCGATGTCTTGGCATCCCTATTTCCATAATTTCTATATATACGGGAAATCTGGTTTCCCTCCATTCGGTGAAGTTCTTTTTGTGAGAATTAAAGTGTGTGTCTGCACTCCAATTTGAAACCTGTTTGAAACTAGTTTTGTTGTTTCCGTTTCCTTCCAAGGACCATGGGAATTGCAACCCTGGAAGGATGCTGAGAATGTGGTTAAACAAGTTTGGAGGAAAGCTTCAAACCGGTTTTAAGTATGTAGACGTGAAAAGAATGACAATTGTTAGGAGGCTTTTAAAATTGTTTTTACAAGAGGTTTATATTCCAAAATTGTGGAAAGCTGGACACTTGTGCCTTGTTTCTATAGTGTTTTGCATCTAAGAGAAGGAAGGGTACATCTGCCTTTTTATTCCACCATTGTTTTCTATTTCCCTCCATTTCTCTAATTCATGGGTTTTTTAAAAAAATTCTAAAAAGCAGAGGAAAGGTTAGTGGTATTAAACAATAGTACAGCATACAGATGTTCTTCCATAATATTTCTGTTTAGCCTTGATTCTTAAATATTTCTTTTTCAATCAAGCCAGAAATTTTTACATTTTTGTAGTTCTCTAATGCATTCTCTGTCTTACAGGACTTGGGGACTTTTGCCTATAACTTGTGTAGTCTTTTAAAGCATATTAAATGATATAAATAATCAAAATAATCTCTAAGCTATTTTTCTTTGGTATACTAGCTGGTGGGGATGAGACAGAATGTGGACAGATCCTTTGGCAGGAAACAGTGCATTCTGTATTCTGGCACCTTCTTCTGTTGTGTTTGCTGCTATTTTGTTTTTGTTTTTGACAAATTTGTATTTTGCTTTGAATATTATAGGTTGATGAGTGACCAAAAGTTATCTTTACGCTGAGCCAGCAGGAAGATGCCAATACCACCTCCCCCTCCCCCTCCCCCTGGACCACCCCCACCTCCGACTCTCAATCAGGTAAGGACTCCTCCTGCTCCAACACACCACCCTTCTTTTCACTTTTGGGTGACCAGTTATGTATAACTGACAAATATTCCTTCTAATACAGTGAAAGGCAAAGGTTGCGTTTCTATCACATTTCTGTGCTCTGGAAGCATATCGGGTAAAGACTTGTGTATTGATATCTGCACAGATCGTACCTAAGAGAGATAGAAAGTTAATGTGGTCTAAGGCAGCTTGATGCCTACATAGAAGCTTTGGATTAATGTTTTCAGAAGTTTCCAAGTTCAAAGCATGCTTCTCCAGAAAATTACTCCGAACAATATGGCTAGTGGACTGGCAACCTTGGAAAAGTGGCACTGGGCATAGTAGATGTTTATTCCAAAGCATAGTTAGATGTTCTTAAAATAGGTTGATGAATTAGGATTGTGATAGAGATGGGAGCTGCAGTAAAAATGAAAGGCAATTGAGTTCTGTAGAAGCCATTCCACTGAGCCCTTTTCCAAACCATACAAATATGAATACTGTTTTAGCTGCAAAAATGCAGGTTCTTAAACTGTGATGTCCTATTTAAAGCGTGCATGTTATCTGATGATTTATTTTATTCACTGGTAAGAAAGCAGGCTCTGCTTAGCTCTAAAGCTGTGAAGGGAAGAGAGATTGTAGCTAGCCATTTTAAAGAAGCAATCCTTGAGCAGATTGGCTAAATAATAACTATTTTCTTAGCATACTAAGCTAAACTACTCCTGTGTCTATCTTTCTTTGTTTACCTATGCATCATTTTCTCATTTCAGGCTAACACAGACCCTCCAAAATTGAGCAGAGATGAACAGCGAGGGAGGGGGGCCCTCTTACAAGATATCTGTAAGGGGGCCAAGTTGAAAAAAGTGGCCCAAGTCAATGACCGGAGTGCACCGATCATTGAAAGTAAGTATGAGCTTCATTGTAAGTATGAGAGTCAGTTCCAGCTTGTCTCCTGCCTGTGTCATCAGTTGGGAGCCCCTCCCCCCAGCAACAATTGCTGCTCTGGGACCGGAGTGAAGAGAGGGCGGCTGGGAAGACAGTACCACCTTGTCTCCTGTGCTATGCTAATAATATAATATAATACAGTGGATATAAATATAATATTTATATTATAATGTAATATAATAATATTTTATAATTATATATTTTCTATTTCATGTAATATTACTAATAATATTACAATATAATGGTATAGTACAGTGATAGGCAACCTTTTGAGCTTGGTGTGTCAAAATTCACCAAAAAAGCGAGCATAATTCAGGTGGGGTGCCACTTTGAGAAAAAAAAACATAATTTTGCGATATTTATAGTTTAAATAACAAAAATGCATAATTGTAAAATATAACCGTATTTAATAACACAAAAACTAATTATTTAACTTACCTGCTTAGTGAATTCTTTGTTCATCCTTCAGTCAGTTTCTTTTGTTGGTCTTGATTTTATTTAACTTGTGTGGGTTGCTGTAAACTAAGATAAGTGAAGGGGAGGGGAAATTCTTTAACTAGCTGCTTATTAGTGACTTTTTTGTTTCTGAATTTCATTGACTAAATCTTCAATTGTAGATTGGTATTTTGTACACTTCAAGCCCAAGCAAGTGCTACTAACATCATCTGTCAATCTGTTTCTTTTGATGGTTTTGATATTATTTAACACTGAGAATAAGGTCTCACAAAAGTATATGGCCGCATGCCATCAAATATGGTTATGCGTGTCAGTGCTGACACACATGTCATAGGTTCGCCATCATTGGTATAGTACAATATAGTAATATATAATACTGATATTGTGCTATGCTATTAATATATTGTACGTATATATATCTTTTAAGCCACTCTCGGTCCCCTTCAGGGTGAAAAGGGCAGCATATAAATGTTGTAAATAAATAATAATAGTTGAATAGCTCTTTGCCATCAAATATAAGAGAAATGATGATGGCTGTAAGTGTAATAGCCCAATTTATAAATAAAACTCTTGTAACTTGTGTTGGAATAACATATGGATGAAATATAGTAATAGATTTTAACAAAGTTTGGAAATTAATATTCAGGAGAATTCAGCAATAATTTACAGTTTATACAAAGAGCGACAGCAGGTGAATTATGGCACGAGACATATCTGAGATGGATTTTATTTTCACTTGGTAATGCTCTGCTTTATGCGATGGCTGATTTCAATTTTTTATTTATTATAAGGAAAAAACAAGCTAGAAAGAAATGGTTTTTTTCTCTTTGTGCAATGTTGCATATGGCTGGGTTCATTTACATGGATGTGACTGACAGATGTCTCCTACGACTTACTGTGAACCTGCTGGCTAATGAAATCTGCAGGTTGAATCCCTACTGAAGATGATATTTCTTACCCAATAATTGGCAAGCAGGGAATGTCTTATTCCTGCATTGGTCTCAAATGCACTCTCTCTAGAATTGTAAGTGTGATCCATTTTCTGGGCACTTATTTAAAATGTTAGGAGACATTTATTATACTCTTTTAAGCACGGTGTGATTTTGTTTTATTTTTTTTTCTTTATTATCATCAAATTTATGTTCATCGCATTCAAAAATTAAGGTGTTCAATTTGATCTGTAGTTTTGTCAGTAAACTGCCATGCTGTGTTGCAAACTTGGCCATTTTAACTAATTTGGGAACTTCTTTGTTTCAGAATCCAAGGGCGGTGGTGGTGGCTACAGCTCTGGTGCATCTCCCCTGCAACCGAGGGGGGGCCTATTTCAAGGTGGTGTCCCCAAGCTCAGACCAGTGGGAGTAAAGGACAATTCAGGTGATTTCTCCATATCTATATATAAATAAAAATGTAATGTTCGTTTGTGGGATTAACAGAACTCAAAAACCACTGGACGAATTGACACCAAATTTGGACACAAGACACCTAACAACCCAATGTATATCCTTCACTCCAAAAAATTGATTTTGTCATTTGAGAGTTGTAGTTGCTGGGATTTATAGTTCACCTACAATCAAAGAGCATTCTGAACTCCACCAACGATGGAATTGAACCAAACTTGGCACACAGTTCTCCCATGACCAACAGAAAATACTGAAAGGGTTTGGTGAGCAGTGTCCTTTGGTTTTGGAGTTGTAGTTCACCTACATCCAGAGATCACTGTGCACTCAAACAATGATGGATGTGGACCAAACTCTTCACGAATACTCAGTATGCCCAAATATGAACACTGGTGGAGTTTGGGGAAAATAGAATCTTGACATTTGGGAGTTATAGTTGCTGGGATTTATAGTTCACCTACAATCACAGAGCATTATGAACCCCACCAATGATAGAATTGGGCCAAACCTCCCACACAGAACCCCCATGTGGGCCACAGCAACACGTGGCAGGGGACGGCTAGTTACTAAATAACAATGCCTTTTGCAGATCATCTTAGCGCCTTGCAATTTCATTGTGTTGATATAATCAAACATTCCTCATTACCAGGAGGGATGATTTGATTTTTAGCTGAACATATTCCCTCTTGATATTATCAGCAGTTTATGTCAACTTTTAAGGAACTGAGTATCAGCATAACTGAGAATTGTTTAAGAGAACTACCCTAAAATATAGCAGAGCATCCAAAAATCAAACAGGATACTTAAAATTAAGCAACAGCTCACAGTTAGCAAAGCGTGAAGTGCCGTTGGTTGTTGCTGTAAAGAATTAAGAGCTTAGGCAAAAATGCAGAGTCCAATCTTAAAAATCACAAAAAATTTATTTACAATAATAAGAAACAATAACTGCATTTCTTAATACTCTAAGATGGGTGTAGCAACTCTAACACCCATCTCTTCTAAGGTTTAAAAAGAGGGGAAAAGCAGCACTCACTACATCTCTCCAGACACACAAGTAGAGAGTGATCTCAAAGCACACAGCACATACACAGATACAAGAAACAGAAGTAAGATTTTTAAAAGGTTTGCAGCAGAAAAGTGTCCATTCTACACAATCGATCTGAATGAGAACAGAAACAGAGAGAGGACAAAATAGATACATTCCCAACTGTTAGACAGAAGACATGGGAGAAGGAAAACCCTTAATTTATACGAAACTAACTAACTGCTGCTCGTTAAGGCCTTGAGACTTGGGCCGTGTGGGGTTGAATTCCAACAAGAATGACTAAGCTTTTTGTCAGTGTTGGAATTCATATCTTCCTCTTCATCTACATCTCTATTATTGTTTTGCCTCAGGGGCAACTTAAGTCTCAAATTAGCATATCTGTCCTCCTGCACCATCTGGAATATGATAGATGGTGACCAAGATAGTATTTTTTTTCTGTAGTAGCATTCTGTTTCTGGCATACTTTCCCAATGGTGACTTCTTGAACATCAAGTGAAGATCTTTTTACTTGTCTTGTTGACCATAGATTCTGATCCAGATTGAAATTAGCATCCAGAAATTGTATTTTCTTCCGTGTGTTCTTTCAAATATGCTGTGAAGTAGTTTAATTTACTGGGTTGCTGTGAGTTTTCTGGGCTGTGTGGCCATGTTCCAGAAGCATTCTCTCCTGACATTTTGCCCACATCTGTGGCAGGCATCCTCAAAGGTTGTGACGTGTGTTGGAAACTAGGCAAGTGAAGTTTATATATCTGTAGAATATCTAGAACTCTTGTCTGCTTGAAGCAAGTGTGATTGTTGCAGTTGCCCACCTTGATTAGCATTTAATGGTCTTGCAGCTTCAAAGCCTGGCTGGTTGGCTTCCTGGGGAAAACCTTTGTTGGGAGGTGTTAGCTGGCCCTGATTGATGCTTGTCTGGAATTTCCCTGCTTTTTGAGTATTGCTCTTTATTTACTGTCCTGATTTTAAAGGTTTTTTTAAATACTGGTAGCCAGATTTTGTTCATTTTCATGGTTTCCACCTTTCTGTTGAAATTGTCCACATGCTTGTGGATTTCAGTAGCTTCTCTGTGTAGTCTGTCATGGTAGTTGTTAGAGTGGTCCAGCATTTCTGTGTTCTTAAAAAGTATTCTGTGTCCAGGTTGGTTCATCAGGTTCTCTGCTATGGCTGACTTTGGTTGAGTTAGTCTGCAGTGCCTTTCATATTCCTTGATTTGTGTCTGGGCAATGCTGCATTTGGTGGTCCCTTTGTAGACTTGTCCAGAGCTGCATGGTATACAGTAGACTCCTGAGAGGTGAGAGGATCCCGCTTATCCTTTGCTGAATGCAGCATTTCTTGGATTTTCTTAGTGAGTCTGTAGATTGTTTGTATGTTGTGTTCTTCATCAGCTTCCCTATGCAGTCAGTATGGTAAGAACATTTTTCCTCTGGGTTCATCTTTGTCTTTACTAGTTTAATTTAATCTGCTTTGTGTATTTCTCCTGCTGTGGAAAGCATTTAAGTGTTGCCCCTATAATGCACTCCCCCCCCCCCCCCCGTCCTAAACTGAAAGCCTAATGCCACTGTACATCCTTTTTGGGCTCCTCTCAATACACATTTCTACTCCTACCTCAGCCAGGGTTTTATCATTTTACGTTGTCCATTTGGCCCACCCATTTTGACCGATTTTATATTATAAAATCAAATAAATTCAGATTTAAGAAAGATCTGAAAACTTGGCTCTTTTGATATGCCTTTGAAGAGTGACCATTCATCCCATTTTTGCTTGTTCCATCTACAGTGTTGCCCCTATAATGCACTCCCCCCCCCCCCCCCCCCGACCTGTCCTAAACTGAAAACCTAATGCCACTGTACATCCTTTTTGGGCTCCTCTCAATACACATTTCTACTCCTACCTCAGCCAGGGTTTTATCATTTTACGTTGTCCATTTGGCCCGCCCATTTTGACCGATTTTATATTATGTTATTTTGCCTTGTTTATTTTATTTTGCTACTGCATGTATTTGATTGTGATATAATTTTTGTTGTTTGCATTTTATTTTTATTTTATTTTGCTGTATTGTATCTTTGGGCTTGACCTCATGTTAACGGCCCTGAGTCCCCTTTGGGGAGGTGGCGGTGGGGTATAAATAAAGTTGTTTATTATTATTATTATTATTATTATTAATATTATTATTAGTAGTAGTATAAGTATTATTATTTATTTACTCTTAAGATTTTGAATGTTGGTATTTTGCCTCTAAAAATACGCAGTCTTTGTCACTGTACACCACTTGCCCCCGTTTCTCTACAAGAATCACTTAGCTTTACTGAATTTAATGGTGGCCTTGTGCAATAGAATTGGGGTCAAAAATTCTTAACAAAAGTAAGGTAAAGTATGTCTCTATTGCTAACAATTTTACTTCTGTAGGTAATAATGCTGTGTTGTTTTTCTGGTTTCAGACAGCCCCTCGGGGAAGCAGTCACTGCAAGTTCCTGGGACCAGATCAGTCGCACCACGGCCTGCTGTTTCTTCTTCTAGTGGCCGACACCAAGATGATGCAGATAATAACCGGGCTTCTCCCCCTGAGCTTCCACGTACCCAGAGACCTTCTTTACCTGATCTCTCACGGCCCAATAGTGCCAGCAGTGCTGGCATGAAACATAGTTCCTCGGCGCCACCGCCTCCACCACCTGGACGTCGAGCCAATGCACCTCCTGCTCCTCCTTCCATGCACAACAACAAAGTACCTTCCTACAACCGTGAGAAGCCATTGCCGCCAACTCCAGGGCAGCGACTTCCAGGAAATCGGGAAGGCCCCCCAGCTCCTCCCCCTATTAAGCCACCTCCTTCTCCAGTGAACCTCCGAACGGGACCAAGCAGCCAGGGCCAGTCTCTGGCACCCCCTCCTCCACCCTACCGGCAGCCCCCTGGTGTCCCCAATGGTCCAGCCAGCCCCACCAATGAGTTGGCCCCTGAGCTTCCACAGAGACACAATTCCTTGCATAGAAAGACACCAGGGCCTACAAGGGGTATGGCGCCTCCCCCTCCCCCATCAGCTTCCCCTTCTTTACAGAGCAGTCGGCCCCCACCTCCTGCCCGTGATCCTCCAAGCCGTGGCGCAGGTAAGAGATTGTCCCTGCACCATTACTCTGTAAAACAGGCAGTGGACTTACTGACTTAAGCACCTTTTGTTGCTTTTCTACAGGAGAAATGCAGGTAAATCTTCTGGTCTGAGAATGATATTTTCTGACTTGGAATGTATAGGACATTGGTTTAACATAGTACTTTGGTTTAACATAGCCTAGTTTAATGCCTAAGATATTCCCATTTAGAATTTCAGCTCTGTCAGAAGTTTGCCAGTGGTATTAGATATTCTCTCCCAGCCTCAATTCCTCAGTTTACTGGTTTATTTTGCAATGTTCTTTTAAGGTGTATGTCTGTACAGTTCACACAATGTGATTAAATTCTCAGAAATGCGTAATGAATGTTGTTACCGTGATTGTAAAATGGGCAATTTCAGTAATTTGGGTTGTGTCGTTACCGAGTTCCTGAATTTTATTGTTTCAGAAAAATGCCTCTTAATTTATAGCACTATTGTTCAGTAAACCCTCTGAACTATGATCTCAGAACCTCTCATTTCACATCTTATGTGGACCACATCCCAAGCTAGCTCAAAACTTGAGCACTTTGCCCATAAAGGTCATTATGTGAGAATGGAGATTTTGGGTTGAGATGAAGACATTGATACCATGGGTTAAAATGTGGCTCAAAGAATGGCTGAGTTGAGTTGAACCTCACACATTGTAACAAATAAAAGTAGAACATTGTAAGCTTTGGGTTGCTGTGAGTGTTCTGGGCTGTATGACTATGTTCCAGAAGCATTCTCTCCTGACATTTTGTCCACATCTCAGAGGTTGAGGGGTCTGTTGGAAACTAGACAAGTAAGGTTTTTATATCTGTGGAATGTCCAGGGTGGGAGAAAGAACTCTTGAGTTTTTTTAGGCAATGTGAAAGTTGCAAATGGCCACCTTGATTAGCATTTAATGGCCTTGCCACTTTAAAGCCTGGCTGGTTGCTGCCTGAGGGAATCCTTTGTTGGGAGGTATTAGCTGGTCCTGATTAATCCGTGTTTGGAATTCCCTTGCTTTTTGAGTGTTGCTTTTTATTTACTGTCCTGATTTTAGAGTTTTTTTAATACTGGTAGTCAGATTTTGTTCACTTTTATGATTTCCTCCTTTCTGTTGAAATTGTCCACATGCGTGCGGATTTCAATGGCTTCTCTGTGTAGTCTGACATGGTGGTTGTTAGAGTAGTCCAGCATTTCTGTGTTCTTCACGACAGACATCAGAAAAGCTGCAAGACCGAGAACAAGCCACAAGAGTAAAGACAAAGATCCACCCAGAGGAAAAGTGTTCTTGCCATACATCAAGGGGACCACTGACTGCATAGGGAAGCTGATGAAGAAACACAACATACAAACTATCTACAGACCCACTAAGAAAATCCAAAAAATGCTACGCTCAACAAAGGACAAGAGGGATCCTCCCAACTTTGCAGGAGTCTACTGTATCCCATGCAGCTGTGGACAAGTTATGTAGGGACCACCAAACGCAGCGCCCAAACATGAATCACATAACAAGAGTGGCACTGCAGACTAATTCAACCTGAGAAGTTAGCCATAGCCGAGAACTTGATGAGCCAACCTGGACACAGCATATTATTTGAGAATACAGAAATGCTCTAACAACCACCATGTCAGCCTACACAGAGAAGCCATTGTAAGCTTTGTTTACATCTGGTCTACAGTGTCCTGAAATATGTCTAGTGTGATGTCATGAGGCACAATGAAGATTGAATCTGTATCAAGAGTTGCATTTGGTTTGCATTTAACCAAACTAAAACTTGGTCCAATCATGTTACCGCAAAGCTTTTTAAGAAATAGTGTAGAGTTGGTTTAGATTAGTTATGTGCCGATTTATGACTGTTTCATCTGATGCCAACCACCAGATAATGCATATCTTACTGAGTGAAAGTTGACCACTTCACAATTACATTGTGGAATTGAGAAAGTCACTGAATAATACAATTTTGAGCAGGAAATAAGAGTGGGCCCTCTCTAATTCTGGCTACTGAGAATTTTCATGAAACAATGCTGACTAGGGAAATTTTGTTTTAGCCCCTCCACCACCACCGCCGCCCATGATCAGAAATGGTGGCAGAGATGCACCACCGCCTCCCCCGCCCTACAGAATGCATGGGACTTCAGATACAACGAGCCGCGGGAAACCGCCCCCACCACCCACCAGAACTCCAGTTGGACCACCCCCTCCACCCCCACCAATGAGAAATGGGCACCGGGACTCCATCTCGACTGTTAGGTCTTTTTTGGGTAAGTAAAACAAACTACTTGCTGTGTTATTTCACTACTAGCCACCCCCTGCCATGTGTTGCTGTGGTCCAGTCTGTGTATATGTGTTTTGTGTGTGCATATATGAGTATATGTGTGTGTGTATATTGGTGTATATATGTAGTTTTGCGTTCTAATGTATTTTTTGTTTTGTTTTTGGGCTTTTTAAGCCTCTTCTGCTGTGTATTTCAGTGTTTTTATGAATCATGGTCACTTGTTGGCCTGATGGGTGTATTATGTCCAAATCTGGTGTCAATTCGTACAGTGATTTTTGACTTACGTTAATCCTATAAACGAACATTACATTTTTATTTACATAGATACAATTCTAGCTGTCCCCTGCCACGCGTTGCTGTGGCCCAGTCTTCATATATGTATTTTCAGTGTGTATATGTGTGTGTATATATTTGTGTATATGTGTTTGCGTGTGTGTGTGTGTGGTTTTGTGTATGTGTTGTAATCTATTTTTGTTTTTTTGGCTTTTTAAGTCTCTTCTGCTGTGTTTTTCAGTGTTTTTATGAGTGATGGTCACTCATTGGCCTGATAGATGTATTGTGTCCAAATTTGGTGTCAATTCGTCCAGTGGTTTTTGAGTTATGTTAATCCCACAAACGAACATTACATTTTTATTTATATAGATGGGGTGAAGAACTTTTAGTCCTCTTGAAGCTGTTGGGCAACAACTCTCATTTCCCGAAGTTGGTATAGCCAGTTGAGAGGCATGATGGGAGTTGCAAGCCAGCAATGTTTTTAAAGGGACAGTGTCCCTATCCAGACCTTAATACGTGTGCCATTTAAGTTGAATGAAAGGGATGATACAGGTTCTGGGGATGCAATAAAGAACTATGCAGTCATTGCTGGTTTAGCTAGTTCGGTTATCCTGGGCTTTGAAATGCTGTGATAGGTAGGAAGAATGGGGCAGTAAGATCTGTTGTAATGGGGCAGTAAGATCCAACTTTTCTATTAAAAATTAAGAGTTGTTTTTAAAAGCAGTTTATTTATACTATGGGTGTTGGCATCTTATTACATGACTGATTGCCAAATATTTCATAACATAGAGCAGAAATGGCCAATTGGAGATTACTGAAGGAGTTTTTGATCTGTTATTAGTAGTCGCACTGTCAGACAGTCTACAAGGAAAATGTATTCATTCACAGAAGTTGGACATCTGCAGTCTAATATTACTTTGGATTTGTGTAGAATTTTCCTGTGTTAAACTAATTCTATTTTGCATAGAATAGGCAGACCAATAGCTACTTGGTGAGTCAATGATATTGTCTTTTTGATAAATTGTGCTCTGCTCTTAAGAGTGCTCAGAGTCTGCCAAGCTGAAGTTATACAGCTTTTTAAAAAATAGATTTTTGAAGTACCGTATGTTAATTAAAAAAAAGAGAATATCAAACCTAGTATGTCTTTTTGGTTGCAATAGCTTGCAGGAAGGGCAGTGGAGTGGCTATGATTGAATGAGCTGAACACGTTTTCATTCCACATGATCCCCATTGATTTGATTAAATGTACGTTGGCATTTTTTTGGGTTGTTGTAGGTTTTTTCGGGCTATATGGCCATGTTCCAGAGGCATTCTCTCCTGACATTTTGCCTGCATCTATGGCAAGCATCCTCAGAGGTTGTGAGATCTGTTGGAACTAGGGTGTCTTGGAACAGCTTCTCCCCATAGAGATGTTCAATGTATTTCTTTTTCTTTTTTATAGATGATTTTGAATCTAAATACTCCTTTCATCCAGTTGAAGACTTTCCAGCTCCAGAAGAGTTCAGGCATTTCCAGAGAATTTATCCCAGTAAAACTAACAGAGGTAAGTGCATTTGACCTACTTCTGTTATTGTGGGTTTGAAGCCATTACGTAGAACCAAAACAGTTACCTGCCAGGATTGTATATGAAGATTATTTTGAGGGGGAAGAGGAAGGTGGTGATGAATGTTGACAGTTCTGTTCCCAGCCTTTTTTTTCCAAATTATACAATACATTCATCTATATATATAAATCTGTTAGGTTGGTTCAACGGGACAGCAAAACTCCACAACCCCCCAACGAAACTTAACCAAAATTCCCATGCCCATAACACAACCCACAAGGTACAAACATATCTACTCAAAATGAAAAACAACACAACAACACACTCACAAAACGGCAAAACAACAAAACTCCAAAAAACCCAACGAAACTTAACTAAAATTCCCATGCCCATAACACAACCCACAAGGCACAAACATATCTACTCAAAATGAAAAACAACACAACAACACACTCACAAAACGGCAAAACAACTGAGCATGCGCATTGGCGCCCAGCCGCAAGTTCCCTGGGCGCACACACAGCCTTCCGGCCAACGTTCCCTCTGCGGAAGCCATGCCCACTCCAAGCCCCGCCGCGCCGCTTCCCGCACACACACACACCCTGCCGCACGCACACACACAACCCCACGCTCCATCACTCCCCCCGCCGCCACACACACACGCAACCCCACGCTCCATCACTCCGCCGCCGCACACACACACGCAACCCCATACTCCATCACTCCCCCCGCTGCACGCACACACGCAACCCCACTCCCGCCGCCGCCGCACACACACACGCAACCCCACGCTCCATCACGCCCCCCCCCGCCGCACACACACCCAACCCCCCCCCCCGCACACACACGCAACCCCACGCTCCATCACTCCCCCGCCGCCGCACACACACACGCAACCCCACTCCCCCCGCCGCCGCACACACACACGCAACCCCACGCTCCATCACTCCCCCCCGCGCACCCACACACGCAACCCCCCCCCCCGCCGCCGCACACACACACGCAACCCCACGCTCCATCACTCCCCCCGCCGCCGCAAACACATACACAACCCCACGCTCCACTCCCCCTGCCCCAATCTTACCTCCTTTTACTTCACGCCACCTCCAACCCCCCCCCCCTTCCCGCCCTGTCAAAACCAGGAAAGACAGGAAGGAAGGAAAGAAGGAAGAAAGAGAAAGGGAGGTAAAGAAAAAGGGGAAGGAAGGAAAGTTAGAGAAAGAAGGAAGAAGAAAAGGAAAGAAAAGGAAAGATGGAAGGAAAGAAAAGAGAGACAGCAGAAGAGAAAGAAAAAGGGGGAAGGAAGGAAAGAGGTAGAGAAGGAAGAAATGAGAGACAGAGGGAGGGAAAGGAAAAGGGGGAAGGAAGGAAGGAGAGAAGGAAAGAAAAAGGGAATGAAGGAAGGAAAGAGGGAGTGAAGGAAGGGGGAAGATGTAGAGAAAGAGGGAGGGAAGGAAAGAAGGAAAGAGAGAAGGAAAACAACCTTTACCCGCCACGTGTTGCTGTAGCCAACCTTCCCTCTTTCTCTCCTTCTTTCCCTCCTTCCTTCCTTCCTTCCCTCCCATCTTTCCTTCTCCTCTTCCTTCTCTATCTCTTTCCTTCCTTCCCCCTTTTTCTTTCTCTTCTGGTCTCTTTTCTTCCTTCTCTCTTTCCTTCCCTCCCTCTTTCTCTACATCTTCGCCCTTCCTTCACTCCCTCTTTCCTTCCTTCATTCCCTTTTTTCTTTCCTTCTCTCCTTCCTTCCCCCTTTTTCTTTCCCTCCCTCTGTCTCTCATTTCTTCCTCCTCTACCTCTTTCCTTCCTTCCCCCTTTTCTTTCTCTTGCTGTCTCTCTTTTCTTTCCTTCCATCTTTCCTTTTCTTTCCCTTTCTTCTTCCTTCTTTCTCTAACTTCCTCTTCCCCTTTCTTCCTCCCTTTTCTTTCTTCCTTCTTTCCTTCCCTTCTTTCCTGGATTTTGACAGGGCGGGAAGGGGCGCGGGGGGGTTGGAGGTGCCGTGAAGTAAAAGAAGGTAAGATTGGGGCAGGGGAGGGATGGAGCATGGGGGTGTGTGTGTGTGGGCGGCGGGGGGGAGTGATGGAGCATGGGGTTGCGTGTGTGTGTGGCGGCGGGGGGAGTGATGGAGCGTGGGGTTGCGTGTGTGTGCGCGGCGGCGGGGGAGTGGGGTGCGTGTGTGTGTGCGGCGGCTGGGGGGAGTGATGGAGTGGGGTTGCGTGTGTGTGTGCGGCGCGGGGGGGAGTGATGGAGCGTGGGGTTGTGTGTGTGGCGGGGCGGGGGGAGTGGGGTTGCGTGTGTGTGCGGCGGGCGGGGAGTGATGGAGCGTGGGGTTGCGTGTGTGTGTGTGCGGCGGCGGGGGAATGATGGAGCCTGGGGTTGCGTGTGTGTGTGCGGCGGCGGGGGGAGTGATGGAGCGTGGGGTTGCGTGGGTGTGTGCGGCGGCGGGGGGAGTGGGGTGGGGTTGCGTGTGTGTGCGGCGGCGGGGGAGTGATGGAGCGTGGGGTTGCGTGTGTGTGTGCGGCGGCGGGGGGAGTGGGGTTGTGTGTGTGTGTGGCGGCGGGGGAGTGATGGAGCGTGGGGTTGCGTGTGTGTGTGCGGCGGCGGGGGGAGTGGGGTTGCGTGTGTGTGTGCGGCGGCGGGGGGAGTGATGGAGTGGGGTTGTGTGTGTGTGTGCGGCAGGGGTGTGTGTGTGTGCGGGAAGCGGCGCGGCGGGGCTTGGAGTGGGTATGGCTTCCGCAGAGGGAACGTTGGCCGGAAGGCTGTGTGTGTGCCCAGGCTTGCGGCTGGCCGCCAATGCGCATGCTCAGTTGTTTTGCCGTATTGTGAGTGTGTTGTTGTGTTGTTTTTCATTTTGAGTAGATATGTTTGTACTTTGTGGGTTGTGTTATGGGCATGGGAATTTTGGTTAAGTTTCGTTGGTTTTTTTGGAGTTTTGTTGTTTTGCCGTTTTGTGAGTGTGTTGTTGTGTTGTTTTTCATTTTGAGTAGATATGTTTGTACCTTGTGGGTTGTGTTATGGGCATGGGAATTTTGGTTAAGTTTCGTTGGGGGGTTGTGGAGTTTTGCTGTCCCGTTGAACCAACCTAACAGATTTATATATATAGATTATTCCTATTAGACCCTGGGGGAATGGGAGAGGTGTCAGGTCCCAGAGGCAATGCATTGCATTATTGTTATTGTTATGATGGTGGTGGGGAAAAAAGGAAATAAAAAGAGAAAGGAGGAAGCAAACAGGGAGGGAAGAAAGGCAAAGGAAGAAAGGGGGAGGGAATGAAGGAAAGAGAGAAGGATGAAACCAAGTAGTGAAAGAAGGAAAGAAAGAAAGAGGTAGAGAAGGAAGAAAGGAGAGAAAGGGGGAGGAAAAGGGGGAAGGAATAGGTAGGTACCTCTCTTTCATAATAGTCCCTATATCTACCTCAACTTTGATAAGTTTTACTATAGGCCACAGCAACGCGTGGCAGGGCACAGCTAGTGCTTCTATAAATGTCATGTTAGTTGTGTGCATTCTCATGTTTGTTTCTCCAAGTCCAGTGGATTTTCACAAGGAAAAGGGATGGCTGTAGTGTCAACTAGTCAGCAGTGGAAGTGGGTGGGCAGAAGTTCATAGTTCTTGTTGACAAAGAATTTATAGGTGTACTTCATTTTGGAGCCCCCAGTGGTGCAGCAGGTTGAGCTGCTGAACTTGCTGGCCGAAAGGTTGGCGGTTCGAATCTGGGGAGCGGGGTGAGCTCCTGCTGTTAGCTCCAGCTTCTGCCAACCTAGCAGTTTGAAAACATGCAAATGTGAGTAGATCAATACGTACCGCTTTGGGAGGAATGTAACGGTGCTTCATGCAGTCATGCTGGCCACATAACCATGGAAGTGTCTGTGGACAATGCTGGATCTTAGGCTTAGAAATGGAAATGAGCACCACCCCCCAGAGTCGGACACAACTAGACTTAATACCAAGGAGAACCCTTTACATTTACCTTTGTTTTGGAAGCCCAGTTGTCAGGAGTCTTCTCTGAGAAGATGGTGTACAGAAAACAGACAACATGAAAACAAGATACTTCCTGTGTCTAATGAGGTTTAAATGGCCTCATAAATCCATAGGCTGATTTTTCTAGTGATGGCAATTAACAATGCAAAAGCTTCATATTCTCTTGTGCTTTGTGGCTAGACTCCGTGTTGAGCAAGCATTCCATGATGATCCATCCATGGCATTATTAATTGTATCTATTGTCTTTTCAGCTACTCGCGGAGCTCCTCCTCTGCCTCCCATTCCCAGGTGAAAAATGGACATCTTTGCAGAGTACCGCGGCAAATGGACCTGTGTTCTCAGATTTCCCCCCTGCCTTCCAATACTTCAAAAACCTGCATGAGAAACACATTCCTGGTATATTGATCCCCTCCACCCTAAACGGTTGCAAAAGCCTGGATGAATATACAATTGCTGTCTTCCATCTATGCATTTCACTCCCAGACTCAAAAGGACATCTGTTATCACAACTGGGTGAGAAGCATCTTCTGCAGCTACACATTGCTTTCTCATTTTCCCAGCTCTTCCTATCATGGAGGGAGGGCCCCCAGTTCATTCACCATTGCTGTTCAAAAACAAGGGCACCGTGGATATTCTCTAACAATGAAAGTTAAATAGAACAGTTTTGGAACTGTGGGCCAAGTTGAAGTACCCATTTGTAGATACTTGCATAGCATAAGCAAGGGGAATTGACCATATGTTGTATGCAGGTGGGGAGCTCTGATTTTTACAAGGTGCAACATTAAAAATACTACATAGCTATTCTATTTTTAAATGCAAACACTACATACTAACACGTTATGTAACTTGAAGAAAAGGAGGGATGAAAAACAAGTATCAACAGCATTTTTCAGAGCAAACTTCTCAATGATGTAGCAGTATCCTTCATAGCACAAGAAATACTTGGGATGTGCAGCAGTTGCTCTGTTTTAGGTGTTATCTTTGTCCTGCTGGTCTGGAGCCATTGTCATTCCCTGAATGTCAACTCTTCCAAATAGCTGCTGGCACTCCAGTTGAAGCTGTCATGACCCATAATCATGCTGTATCTGTGCACTGAATAGATTATTACATATGGTGCCATTCGTGCTACATAGAATTTGGATTAGAGACAAGGCATACAGAAAACATTGTTGGATGGCCTAGTGTTGATAGCAGGCTGGAAGAGTGCAACCATATAGTGTGCCCACAGACAGTAAATTTGTGGACTAGATGGTGCAGCAGTTCAAGGCAAGATGCGCCTCACATTGTTATTTTAGGGATTTTGACATAGACTGTTAGACTGTGACAGCTCTTTTCTTCAAGGAGATCAAATCTTCTCGCAGAGAGAGGCACAGTTCTATCTTACCTCTTTATGTCATTGTGGTGGCTCTGTTTCCTGTGTTCATTCCTCCATCAGCAATCATATTTTGCCTTACCTTTTTTGTTTGGAGTGGCAAATGAACATTGGTTTGCTGCCTATGTCACCAAGGGTATCAAATGGAGAAGCATTTGGCTGTAGTTTTGAACAGGAAAGTCCCTCCTGCTATTACTGTGTCTGGTTAAAAAATTAACTCTGAAATAATAAACCAGCTGTTCTAACTCAAAATTATTTACTAATAGTTAATAACCCACCCCATCAAAGTTACTTTTAGAGGTCAGGGATGCTAGAAAAATGTCTCCTATGGTTTGTTTCTTTTTGTCAGGTGTAAACTCCTTACAACGATGTTCTAAATCTAATGTGGGTTTCTTACATTGTGGCTTAGAAAACCTATGTTTCAGGTCAGAAGAGAGCCTTTCCATTTTTTTCTCCTCAGCCTCTGTCTCCGTGGATGTACAGTCTGCGGAGAATTCACTGCTAGGCTGTTAACCAATAGAATGAAGTGCCCAGTCCCAGGTTGAGAACAATTAATTCAGGCCTGGAGCTGAAGCAGTTTCCCTTTCCTCTTCTTACCCCTTTCCCATTAATATTTTGTTCGACCGATTATAACATCAGAGGAAGACTCTGGCTAGTTGGTTAGGTTTTGGCCTTACACAGTACTTCTGTTATGTGATTGATACCAGATTTATTATAATTGTGTGTATTTACTCTCAAATAACATGGGAATGGGGAAATGTGTGTTATAATCATAAATATTGATCTATTTTATATGTTGTAAAAAGTTTGTAGGCTTGCCAGCCATACACTATAAAAGTTCTTCACCTTCTGCTTTTATTTTTTTCCCCGTTTTGATGATGGAAATTCATCTGTTTTTGTTTTTTTTTTTTTAGTTAATGACCAGGCAGCCTCTCATGTTGAGGGGCTAGTGCTTGGTTGGAGGCATTTCTTTTTTTCTTCTGGAGGAAAATTAAATCTTGCCTGGTATACCTCACTGGGAAGAGATGTTAAATGCGCTATGCATTTGGGATGGGGATAGGGGTGTTTAATTTTTTTTTACTGTTACATTCCTTGTAACATTAGTTTTCCAGTAACTAAAACCTTTGTTTGGGAAGCAACTGTGAAGGGGGTTCCTAAGCTTGAAATGGCAGTTGAATGAAAAACTTAATAAAAGAGGCACATGTGTTGTACTTGCACGTTTTGGGACAAAGCACTGCTTTATTCTTCCATTCCATTTTTTCTCTTCCTGTAGTTATGTTTGGTTTGTTCTGTCTGGCTAGGAGGGATGTGTTTGCTTTTTCTTGCTGATCAAGAGTGTTTGTACAAAGGGAAGTTAATGCACACAGACATTTTCCAATTTCACCCTTTCCCAAAAGCTCAGGACAGGTTTATACAGCATTTCAATCAAATAAACAATGCTTAGACTGATAACTACTATTGAGATGATGTCAGTTTGTTCTCAAAAGTCAGAGGAAGACTCTGCCAAAATGTGTTTGAGCTTAAAGATTGTTGCCATTCTTTGTGGTCAGAGACTCTGAGCCAGCCAGTATAATTAGATTGATATCACTTAATTGTTTTTCCCTTGGCCATACCATTTGAGGTTGTTGGTGAAGGGATTGAATGCTTGAGGACTGACACCATCTAAAAAGCTCTTCTTACTTAGAATAAAAGTCAGAAAAACATACCATACTTGGTATTAAAACACCTGTCCTGTTTTGTTATCGTAAATAGTAATACAGGATAAGCATTTTAATTAATATATATATATATCTAATCCTCTCTGAACAAACACCAAGGAATGGCATTCCAAGATACCAATTTTGTAACACTTTATATAATATCTGTAGCTGCTCTTTTGAGATTGTTTCTAAGCTTTAAGTCAGACTGTAACTTGGACATACATCTTTATAGAGCTAAAGTTTCTGGTTTCAAAAATGTTCTACGAATTTAGATTCTTGGTCCAAGCGGGCATGGACAGACTTTGGCCCTTGAAGTTCCACGATTCCTAATAATAATAATAATAATAATAATAATAATAATAATAGTAATCTTTATTTAATACCCCGCCACCATCTCCCCAATGGGGACTCAGGACAGCTTACACGAGGCCAAGCCCAACAGCATATTACAATAAAGTAAAACCAAAACAGAATAACAACATAGTAAAATACATACAACATATGAGTGCAACGACGATAAAGCAAAATCATACACAGTAAAATGACAAAGCATAACAATGAGCGGGGCCGCATGTGAAAGATAAAAATTAAGATATTAAAAATACTAAAATCAGGATGAGATGGGGATGGAGCAGATTGCTTGTGGGGGAGAAACTCGTAAAGGAACGGGGTCATAAATATAGATCTTCATACAGGTGGGGAATATACTCTGGGGACAAAAACCGTTGAGAAGGAGCAACTGTGTATGATTATATGACTACTCTACAAAACAGCTGGTAGGCTGTTGGGAACTGTGGGAGTTGAAGTCCAAAATACCTGGATGGCCGAAGTTTGCCCATGCCTGGTCTAAAGGATAAAATTTAAATATCTACAAGCCTTTAGATGTGAAATGCCCCCAAGACAGATTGCATTTTGTGATGTACATTTAGAGAACTGGCCACAAGTGGCTTTTAAATTGGTGCTGTGTGCCATTGTAGACAATGTTCTAATGTCCTGGGTGCAACTCTTCTTCCAGAAAGTGTGGGATTTAAAAAACAGCATCTAGCCCCCCTGTATTATATAGAAATTCTTGGAAATGCAGACTGGTGAAATAAATGGTTGGGTAAATTGTATTGTATTGTTGGTCCTTGGAAAGGCCGGCACAGTTCTTTCATTTCATGGTTAACTAAAGTAAAATACATTATTCAGAACAGTAAATGCGAAAACAGAGTTTATGTGAAATCACACAAACTGGCTTAATTTGAATGACATACAGGCTGCAGAAATCCACATTTCACGCGATGAGGGTTAGAACTACCCTGGTTGAGTTTTTTGTAGTGCGAGTTATAGGCATGTGCTGCAAATGAATGGCGAAACAGTATGAATGTACCAGGGAACAAGTATCTGTGGTAGAGTGTATGTGATTGAATGGCAAGTTCTTCAAGCTTCACTCACTGTGCCTTACCCTTAAATGAGATGTGTGTGTTATGTTTTGGAGCAGGGGAATCACTTTCTCAACATGCGGTCTCCCCTAAGCTTGTATACACTGTATTTGCTGACTTTGATGCTTTTAACACTAACATTATCTTTGACTAGAGAACACTATTACTCATGTGTCTCCAAGAACCAGAATATGGATCACATGCAACTAGGAATTCTCTTGATAAGGTATTTGGGAAGCTTTTGTCTTCTAAATCTCCTTTAAAATGTTTTTGCTGCAGATAAATTGGCCACAAAGATTTTGTGCAAGCCTCACTCCCACAAACTGAGCTACCAACATGAGCACAGATGGTTTTCCTGTTGGGATCCTTGTATGAATAGAGCACATGACTGGTTTTATACTAAATACCTCCTTCCTAATTTTTTCCCTTAGTGGCACCTGCACATTTCTTTTAAAGTTCATTGTCAGCGGGTAGAAATTTAAGATGCAAGTGAACAGAAAAGATGTGTGCAGTTAGGCAGCAGTGAGTAGCTGTGTTGCAAAGATAGAAGTGCACTGGTTACAGCTCTGAGCAGAATATGTAGATTTTGATAATCTGCATCTCTTTCTCCTGAGTCTATATACCATTCATCACAATCTTACCTTTATTTCTAGTTAACATATTACTAGCTTCCATTGATCTTACACCAATGATATCTGCAAAACCTCTAGAAAATCTGGTTGAAGAGAGGAAAGAGGGGACTTCATTTTCACTCCTTACCTATTATGTTTGATGGTGCCTCTTTTATTGATTCACTATTTTGGAAAAACACTGTACCTGACCCACAGTAAGTGATGCTGTCTCTACTGAAAATGTAACTGCATCCGATGATGCACAATCAAATCTATGTCCATGATCTAATAAATTAATCAAATGCAAATGGTGTCCTCCTAATTTGTTTTCTGCCTCCAAGATCAATACGCTTTTAGTGAATGTATACCTTCAGTTGTGTGCCTTCAAATAATTTCCAACTTAAGGTAGCCATATTTTCCTGGCAAGGTTCATTTAGAGCAGTGGTTCTCAACCTGGGGGTCGCGACCCTCAGGGGATCATTGGGCCATTTTCTGGGGGTCGTGAAGCCACCTCGGTTGGTCTCGCCCCCTCCTGGCTCAGAAGGATCGATGGGAAGGCTCCCTGCATTGCCTGGCCCTCTGAGGAGCCTTTGCCACATGGCCCTCGCTCCCTGCTGGGCTCGGAAGAGGCACGAGGATCAAGGGGAAGGCTCGCCATGTGGCCTAGCCGACTAGGGAGACTTTGCCGCTCGGTCCTCGCCTCCTCGCCTCAGAAGGGGCGAGGGACAAGTGGATCCACTCGGCCCTCACCGCCTGTTTGGCTTGGAAGGGTCAAGGGGAAGGCTCCCCATGCGGCTTGGCTGACCGGGGAGCCTTTGCCACTCGGCCCTCACCCCCTGCTGGGTTCGGAAGGAGCGAGGGTTGAGGGGAAGGCTCCCTGCTCGGACTGGCTCTCGCTACCCAAGTTTGATCCAGGTCCGTCATCGGTGGAGACCGGTTTCTCTGGTTGTGAGTGAACTACAACTCCCAGAAACAAAGGTTAGCCTTCCAGTAATCAACTGTAAGCATATCAGGTATGTGTTCCAAATTTGGTTCCATTTCATTGTTGTTAGAATTCAGGATGCTCTTTGTTGGCAGGGGAACTATACATCCCAAGAACTTCAACTCCCAAATGCCAAGGTCTATTTTCCCCAAGCCTCTCCAGTATTTTCTGTTCGTCATGGGAGTTCTGTATGCCAAGTTTGCTTCAATTCAATTCTTGTTGGAGTTCAGAATGCTCTTGGTTCGCAGAGGAACTATACATCCCAGCAACTTCAACTCCCAAATGTCAAGATCTATTTTCCCCAAACTCCACCAGTCTTAAAATTAGGGCATATTGAGTATTTGTGCCAAGTTCAGTCCAGATCCATAGTTCATAGTGCTCTCCGGATGTAAAAGAACTAGATCTTCCGGAGGTAGGAGAACTAGATCTTCCGAAAATTGCTGTCAATTGCTCCCAAACTCCTCCAGTATTTTCTATTGGTCATTGGGGTTCTGTGTGCGAAGTTTGGTCCAGGTCTGTAATTCATGGGGATCTCAGTGGTGTGTGGAAGTCAGAGGTGAATCGGTTGAAGATACTGCAGATCCCATTATCTGTTGTCCATACTTGCCCGAATATTTTGTTTTCGTGATTAGTCACTACGCTTTAATTATGTTCCGTTTGTAACTATGAAAATACATCCTGCATGTCAGATATTTACATTACAATTCATAACAGTAGCAAAATTATGGTTGGGGGTCACCACAACATGAGGAACTTTATTTAGGGGTCATGGCATTAGAAAGGTTGAGAACCACTGCCATAAATAAATAAATATAGATAATAATTATATCAATATTAATATAAAATAAGTATACAGCTAGTAACATTATATATATATTATATATATAAGTATATTGCTAGTAACATTATTAGTAGGAATAATAGCCAAATCCGGGAAGATCCAATGGATACACCTGTTCCACTCCATTCATTCTCGGAGAGCCCCGCCCCCTTTCACTTCTCAGCCAATTCGTCCTTGGCAAGCCCCGCCCCTTAACTCCTCAGCCAATCATTCCTCTTCCGAGAAGGGAAGCTCCAATGGATGCACTTCTTTTGCTCCATCCAGCCTCGGAAAGCCCCGCCCCCTGTAGCTGCTCAGGACACGCCCCTTTCAGCGATTGCTTCCCGCTCTGGGGAGCCCCGCCCGCTAACGCCTCAGCCAATCCGTCCCTGGCAAGCCCCGCCCCCGTGTTTTCAACTGACACGCGCCGAGAGTTCTTCTCAGTTGAGGAGTTGGGCGACGGTTGTTTTCCTCGGTGCATTTGGAACCCATTCCCAGCAGCCGGAGTCCATTCACGCGCGCTTCTGGGAATTCTGGGAGTTGAAGTTCAAAGTGCCTGGCGGGAGGACCAGAGTTTGGGCATGCCTACGAGGCTGTTGAGAATTCTGGGAATTGAAGTCCAAAGCACCTGGAGGGAGGACCAGAGTTTGGGCATGCCTGCGAGACTGTTGGAAATTCAGGGAGTTGAAGTCCAAAGCACCTGTTGGGAGGACCAGAGTTTGGGCATGCTGGGAATTCTGGGAGTTGAAGTCCAAAGCACCTGGAGGGAGGACCAGGGTTTGGGCACGCCTATGAGGCTGCTGGGAATTCTGGGAGTTGAAGTCCAAAGCACCTGGAGGGAGGACCAGAGTGCTACACGATATTCCAGAGTACTTGTAAGGTATCAGCATAAACACAAAACAATCTATGCGTAATGTCAAAGTGTATTATCAAAAGCGCATATAGTATTCCATTTACCAAAATCCCCAGTACAAAGCTCAATTCAGTGGTACACAGCAAAATCAAAAGGAGCAGCCGCTCTCAAACGTAACCGTTCTCGGTCTGGATAAGGATTCCACCGTATATAGGCTTCAGGGATACATTCAATAAGAAAAGTCATATAAACAAAGCACCTGGAGGGAGGACCAGAGTTTGGGCATGCCTACGAGGCTGTTGGGAATTCTGGGAGTTGAAGTCCAAAGCACCTGAAGGGAGGACCAAGGTTTGGCCATGCCTACGAAGCTGTTGGGAATTCTGGATACAGCCCTCCAAGGTCATTTACCTGGCCCTCGCTCAGGGTCAACCTAAGTCTGAAACGACTTGAAAGTACACAACAACAACAATTCCATCTCATCAGCCAAAAGCAGGCCCACACTTCCAATTGAAATACTAATAAGTTTTGTATTGCTAAAATTGTTCTTCATTTTAATTATTGTATTGTTTTAAGTGTTTTGTTTTTTTTGCACTACAAATAATATATATTCAGTGCGCATAGGAATTCATTCATGCATTTTTCAAATTATCCGGCCCTCCAACAGTTTGCGGGTAAGTATGTGCTATAGGATGCCTGTTTTAGATTGTCAGGCCAAAAACCCTGACAAATTTTCTGGCCTTGTCCAAAGCTCTGCCTCAGAAATAATGAAGGGGAAACCTTTTCCAAACAAGCTCTGAGGCAGCAGGGCTAAACCATCAGAGCCAGGCCTCGGGGGGGGGGGGGGTAAGCTCCACCTTTAAAACTCAGCACAAATGGAACAGTCCACCCCAAAGAGAGCAAACAAAGAAATGGACAGAGAACGAAAAACTAGGCCAGGACTTCACAAGCAGCCATCAAACGCATATATAAAACACATAAACAGTCAATAAACGTAAATAACCATTTTAAAAACAACATACATTAATGTGGTATTTGTGCCAGGTTAATGCCCACTAAGCTGAATCAGCATAGTTTCTAGGACTCTTAAGACCAAACAGGTTGAATTAGCTGAAGGTATCTTCAAGGAAAGGCAAAAGCTGCACGTCACAAGTGCTGAACCTGACTCAGCACATAGAAGATGGCTTTGAAAGACAGCCGATCACGGGAGCTGTCTTCATAGACCTATCAGTGGCTTATGGTATTGTAAACCACCGCCTCCTCCTGAGAAAAATGTATAATATCACAAATGACTACCACCTCACCCGCCTCATAGGAAACCTGCTACAAAACAGGAGCTTTTTTGTTGAGTACCAGGGCCGGAGAAGCAGATGGCAGAAACAGAAGAACGGCCTGTCCCAGGGGAGCGTGCTTGCTCCATCCATGTTCAACATTTACACAAATGACCAGCCACTGCCAGAAGGGACAGAGAGTTTCATCTATGCTGACAATCGTGCCATTACTGCTCAAGCAGGGAGCTTTGAGATGGTTGAACAGAAGCTCTATGTGCTCTTACTGCCTATTACAGGGAAAACCAGCTGATCCCTTATCCATCTAAAACACAGACATGTGCTTTTCATCTTAAGAACACACAAGCATCCTGAGCTCTGAGGATTACCTGGGAAGGAATCCCACTGGAGCATTGCAGCACACCCAAATACCTGGGAGTCACTCTGGGCCATGCTCTGGCCTACAAGAATATCAAGCAAAAAGTGGGCGCTATAAACAATATCATACGAAAGGTGACTGGCACAACCTGGGAATCACAACCAGATACACTGAAGACAACTGTCCTTGTACTATGCTACTATGCTGCTGAGAATGCATTCCCAGTGTGGAACACATCTCGCCACGCTAAAACAGTGGATGTGGCTCTTAATGAGACATGCCGCATTATGACGGGGTGTCTGCGCCCTACACCACTGGAGAAATTACACTGTTTGGCCGGTATTGCACCACCTGACATTTGCCAGGCAGTAGCAAAAATAGTAAAAGGACCAAGGCAGTGATGTCTCCGGCTCACCCCGTTTGGGTATCAGCCAGCACGCCAACGCCTTAAATCAAGAAATAATTTTCTAAGATATACAGAGACACTCGCTGGAACATCTAAGCAAGTGAGAGTCCAAAAGTGGCAGGCTCAAACCCAGAACCCCAATCAGTGGCTGATACCAAATGAGAGACTCCCTCCTGGGCACACAGAAAACTGGGTGGCTTGGAAGGTGCTGAACAGACTGCGCTCTGGCACAAGATGTAGAGCCAACCTTAAGAAATGGGGCTACAAAGTGGAATTCACGACATGCAAGTGTGGAGAAGAGGAAACCACTGACCACCTATTACAATGCACCCTGAGCCCTGCCACATGCACAATGGAGGGCCTTCTTGTGGCAACACCAGAGGCACTCCAAGTGGCCAGATACTGGTTTATTTATTTATCGTGTCATCAGCAACCATTGTATCACAATTCTAACAGAGCCAAACAAACACACAGATTAAAAAGAAAAAGGAAAAAAACACACAGATTTTGCAAATTTGGTATTTGGTTAAATGTCCTTTGACCAGTATCTGGCCACTTGGAGTGCCTCTGGTGATGCCGCAAGAAGGTCCTCCATTGTGCATGTGGCAGGGCTCAGGGTGCATCGCAGCAGGTGGTCTGTAGTTTGCTCTTCTCCACACTCGCATGTCGAGGATTCTACTTTGTAGCCCCATTTCTTAAGATTGGCTCTGCATCTCGTGGTGCCAGAGCGCAGTCTGTTCAGCGCCTTCCAAGTCGCCCAGTCTTCTGAGTGCCCAGGGGGAGTCTCTCATCTGGTATCACCCATGAATTGAGGTGCTGGGTTTGGGCCTCTCGCTTGCTGGGGTGTTCCAGCGGGTGTCTCTGTAGATCTAAGAAAACTATGTCTTGATTTAAGTAGTTGACGTGCTGGCTGATACCCAAACAGGGGATGAGCTGGAGATGTCTCTGCCTTGGTTCTTTCACTATTGGATGCTACTTCCCGGCGGATGTCAGGTGGTGCAATACCGGCTAAGCAGTGTAATTTCTCCAGTGGTGTGGGACGCAGACACCCTGTGATAATGCGGCATGTCTCATTAAGAGCCACATCTACTGTTTTAGTGTGGTGAGATGTGTTCCACACTGGGCATGCATACTCAGCAGCACAGTAGCATAGCGCAAGGGCAGATGTCTTCACTGTGTCTGGTTGTGATCCCCAGGGGGACATGAGAGAAGCCTCCTCGCAGGATTGCAAGACATCCGGGCGTCCCCTGGGCAACGTCTTCGTAGACGGCCGATTCTCTCGATCCAGAAACAACCAGAGACAGATACTGGTCAAAGGACATTGAACAGAATACCAAGTATTCTAACTTTGTGTTTTGTTTTTAATACTATACAACTGTTTTGGTTTACTCCTGACACGATAAATAAAATAAACCTTCAAGGACTATGAGGCCCATTAGACTAAGTCAGCATAGCTTCAAGACTATAAAGCGAGAATCAGCGTAATTTAAAGGATTCTAATGCCCATCGGCCGGATCAACATAACTTCAAGAATTATATGGCAGAGCAAACTTAATATGTTTTTTTATCAGGCTGGCAAGAGCTGAAGGAAGTTGCAATTTGATTGACACGTGGAAGTCCACGCACGTGCCCCCTCCCCGTTCTAAAGCGCTTAACCTGAACGTTCTAACCGGAAGCCAGGCCCTGGCTCTGACACTGCCCACGAGTAGAAGAAGGAGCCTATGAAAGATTTGGGTTTGGCGCGAAAAGCGCCGATTGGCTGGGAGGAGGCGGAGCGCGCGCTCCGGGTAACCAATGGGAGAGCTCGAGCGGACGGCTGGCGCGCGCGCGCGAGAACCGGCAGATGCAATTGTCATATCAGAAGGAAGGAGACAGCGAAGAGTTTGGCGCGGTTTCCCTGAGAAGAAAACTGAAGGTAATTGGAATGCAGTTTTACCCCACTTTAATTGCCATTCATATGCTTTAAAACAGCTGTATTTGTGCAATATATTACTGTCATAATAGAGGAAGGCAACTTCTGTTGTAGAGCAACTTTATAATATTGCTAATATTATAACGACTTCTTTACTGAATGAGAAAACTTGGGGTTTCTGTTTACGTTTTCCCCAAACTGGTTATTACTCAATACTCATGAAACCTCCATGTTTGGAGGTTTCCAAAATGCTGAATGCTGGAGATTTGGAACAAGCAATAATAAGATATTATAGTTATATATTTATATTGGATGGTATCCTTGAAGTGACTGGATTGACCTTGAAAGAGCTGGGGGTGGTGACGGCCGACAGGGAGCTCTGGCGTGGACTGGTCCATGAGGTCACGAAGAGTCGGAAACGAATGAACATTATATGTAATATTACTAATAATATCATAATGTAATGGTATAGTACAATATAGTAATATTTAATACTGATATTGTACTATGCTAATAATATAATATATTGTATGTATATATATCTTGTAAGCCGCTCTGAGTCCCCTTCAGGGTGAGAAGGGCAGCATATAAATGTCATAATTAATAAATAAATCACCTATTTGTTTAATCAGGACATTATATAGGTCAGGCATCTTCAAACTGTGGCCCTCCAGCTATTTGGGCCTTCAGCTCCCAGAATTCCTGGCAATTGAACAAGCTCGCTAGGGCTTCAGGGAGTTGGGGGCCCAAACAGCTGGAGGGCCACAGTTTGAGGATGCCTGACCTATATAATGTCCTGATTAAACAAATGTTTGGGTCATGATAATGTCTGACCAGCATAGAATGGAAGTACATATGTTTACAGGTATCCCTCAGTTAACAGGTCTTCTGGCAAAGATATTTCTACAACTTTTTTGCATGCGTCACACCTTTTCCTCATCCTCTGTCTTGTTTTAGTAGCATTGGCATGGAGCCCCCGGTGGCGCAGTGGGTTAAACCCCTGTGCCGGCAGGACTAAAGACCAACAGGTCGCAGGTTCGAATCTGGGGAGAGGCGGATGAGCTCCCTCTATCAGCTCCAGCTCCTCATGCGGGGACATGAGAGAAGCCTCCCACAAGGATGATAAAAACATAAAAAAAAATCATCCAGACATCCCCTGGGCAACGTCCTTGCAAACGGCCAATTCTCTCACACCAGGAGTTACTCCTGACACGACAAAAAGCATTGGCATTGGGATGATGATTGTGATGAAGGGCACTGAGAAACATTCAACATCAGGTTGTAGCAATGTGTCTTTATTGCAATAAATCAGAGGTCTTCAGACTTTTAAAACAGAGGGTTCACAGTCCCACAGACTGTTGAGGGTTGGAATATAGCTTGAAAACAACATGAACGAATTCGTGTGCACACTGCACAAATAACCCATGAAAGAACAATATAGTATTGAAAATGAAGATCAGTTTTATCCAACATAAACTTACCAGTATTTGAATGGGAAGTGTGAGCATGTTTTTGGCTGATGAGTCTATTTATTTATTTACTTACTTACTTATTTACGGTATTTATATTCTGCTTTTCTCACCCCTTGGGGGATTCAAAGTGGCTTACACAAATATAACAGCAAAATTAAATGCCTTACATGCATAAACCAAAACTCAAATCGACAACATATAACTAGACATTAAAATCAATAGGACAATTCACCATTAGATAAGATAAAAGGACATTTTAAACATGAAATATAAGAACTAAAACACCTAATAAAAGCATTAAAATCACACTATCCAACAATTAGGATTGTTATTGTTATATGCTTTCAAGTCAATTCAGACTTAGGATGCCCCTCAGTCTAAAGTTTGGGGGGGGGGAGAGAGATAAATGACCTTGGAAGGAAATGAAGTTATTGGTTACTGAGATCTTTCCTGAACAAGAAGTGGACAGTATTTTGTGCTCCAGCCCAGGCTCAGTATTATTACTAAAGTGCTGGTTTTAGCCTATAAAACCCTAAATGGTTCTGACCCAGCTTACCTGTCTGAACACATCTCCCCTAAGAACCACCTCAGAAATTAAGATCATCAGGAGAGGCCTTGCTCTTAGTCCGACCTCCCTTTCAGGTGCTACTGGTGGGGACGAGAGACAGGGCCTTCTCAGTTGTGGCCCTTCAGCTGTGGAACTTCCTCCTAGCGACATTAGATCAGCCCCCTCCCTCCCGGCCTTCAGAAGGAAAGTGAAAATGTGGCTTTGGGACCAAGCCTTCGGAGAAGTGCAATAGAAGGATAAGACAAAAATTATACCTAGGAATAATATAATAGTTGAAATTTAAAAGGTGTGTTATATGCATGTGTCTGAAGCAGAGATTAGTTGTGTATGTTTTAACTTGTATACTGATTCTTTATATGCTTCTTTTTGGTTTTAGTATCCACCATGCCTAGTACCAGATCTAAGTCCCAAACCCAGAAACAGAATAAAATCGACTTTCCTAAGCGGAAATCAACCAGACTTTGCCAGACTCTAGTTAAAGAAGAGGGTTCAAAGTCGAATTCAGCCCCAGTCTCACCACTCTCTTCTAAGAAGCAAGTCTTGCCTCTCAGCCCTCGCAAGCGTCTTGGTGAGTCAAAGTTTTCCAAAGCATCACTGGGCAGTGGCATGTATACATTAGATGTGTTTAAATCTTCTTGGGGCTAAATCAATATGTGAGGCTTCAAGAAATTATGGTAGAAAGTGGCCCTGTTTTCCAAAACATCACTGGGCGGGTTTTATATGTCAGAAGGTTTCACCTCACTTTCTGTCCCTGTGAGAATTGGATTTTGGAAAAATTGGCTTGTTGTGGAAATAAGGATTGGTAAGAAAGCTTCAATGGAGAAACCTTTTCCTCATGATAACTCTTTCAGGAGTGAATTTCACTTCCGAGGGATAGATTTCTCTCACTTCCTATTGTCTCACCTCTGTTCTTAAGTCTGTGAGTCAGATGTTTGTAACTTGGGGACTGCCTGTATATGGGGTTGAAAAGCACAGGTTACCACCACACTGTTCCTGATCACTACAACTCTTAAGCCACCATTGACAGGTTATTCATTTCCCATAAATGCTAATTCATGTGAAATGAATTAGGTTAACCTGTTTGGATACTCTTGAAGAGATTGTTGTTGTGCTTTAAATAATTTTTGCTTTGATAGTATTTGTACAAAGAGTTTTTTATACTGAACACAGCGTTTTTGGGTTTTTTCTCCAAAAAAGGGATGAACAAGTAAACAAGTAACATTAGTGCCAGAGGTATTTGAAAGGAATTGTACTTTTTCAGAATGATTTTTCATGAGAGCTAGATACTTGAAAGAAAAAAATCTTACAGCATTTTTAGAAAGCCATTTTCAGTGACTGGAGTAGGACTTCTTTTGATTATGACATAGGCTATCTTTTGTATCTGATTCTTACTCAGCTTCTACTTCTATTACTGTCTCTTGCCTTCTTTTTACCTGAATGCCTTTTCCCTCCCACAGGAGATGAAAATCTCTGCAATGTTACGCAGTTGTTGCCTTGCTCCCCATCTAAGCAGAGTAAAAAAGAGAACACCTTTCTACCCAGTTCTCCAAAGGGACGAACTTTACTGTTCAGTGAGCGTTCAGCCCTCAAATCTCCAGCTAGGTCTACCAATGTGGTTCCCTCACCCCACCGCAGAACTGAAGAGACTCCCACTTCTTTACAACGTCACTGCCCTAAGAAAGAGCTGGTGTGTACTCGTCTTTTTAAGCAAGAAGGTATGTAACTATAGCATACATATTGAGGATCTCTATTATGCACATTCTCTGCTTCTGTAGATGTATTTGAAGGAACAATCAGGGAACTTCCAGAGAGAGAGAGAGAGCTGTTGTATTTTGTTCCAATTCATACATTGTTCTTTGAGTTAGTTAATGTTGATGTTTGTGTGAAATTTACAGAATGAGAAAGTTAAGGTGATTTATAAAATTCTTCCCATGAAAGAGTTCTGTGAAAAGAGTTCGGAGACATAAGTTCTTGGTAACTTTGCAGAACTGGTTTGTAGATGCTTTGTTTATTTTCTGGAAAGCCCAGGTCTTTCACCCTTTTCTCTCTGAGTGTACATGTGATGGCAGGAAAGTGTAGAATTGTTTGTTAGATTTTGGTTTGAAGGTTCTAGGTTAAACATTTCCCCGTAGCTTTTATTAACCAAGATAGTGATGAATCATTTGATGTTAGCAATATTCTAAACATGTGGGCAGGGGTGCTATACATCCTACCAAATGTTCACCTAAAGAAATGTATTGGTTTCTTATGTCACAAGTCTCTCGATTGCAAGTGGTGTTAAAAAGCCAGGTCAGTATATCAAGTTCAGTATTACAGATTTATAATATTGTGTTTTACTAATATTGTTATTGTTTGAATTTGGCATTGAATTATTGCCATAGTTTGTAAGCTGCCGTGAGTCCCCCTTTGGGGGTGAGAAGGGTGGGGCATAAGTACAATAAATAATAAATAAAATACAGATTAGACCCAGTATGTTGTAGTGATTTGAGTATCGGACTGGGAGACTGTCAGAAATATTAACTAGGTATTTTTAATTACAAAAATGTAAGTCAAGCACTGAAAAGGGTTAAATGGATGCAGTGACTCAGCAAAAGCTGCAGTTCAATATAAGCAGGTTTGCCTGTAGCTTAGTAGCACTCAGTCTGTGAGAGGTCTCTGTGGGAGAAGGGCCTTTGTGTGTTAGTAAGCCTCAGTATGAGAAGGCCTCAGTGTTAGTTCATCTCAGTGTATGAGATGTGTCAGTCTGAGAGAGCCTTCAGTGTGAGAAGGCCTTAGTGTTAGTAGGCCTCAGTATGAGAATGCCTCAGTGTGAGAGGAAGCTCTAGTGTGAAGACTGCTGAGTGTGAAAAGCTCCTGTGTAGCTCCTGTGTAACTTCACACAAGAGGCTCTGTGAGAGTGAAGCTGTTTATCTGCATGAGAAAGAAGCTCAGCATGGAAGGAAAGAAGGAAGTAGAAAGAAATTTGTTCGTGTTTTGGGAAACTTGTTCTTGTAAATAATGCAACCATATTATTTTACTACAAAGAAAAGCCTCCTATAGAATATGTAACATTGGTCTGTGTGTTTTTGTTCCTTTTCTTACTTTGGGCTACTGGTTCTGGGTCACACTGCTGCTAATAAGTTACTATGCTGTACATTTATGAGGAGGGTATTAATAAGCTCACTTCGCCCAACAGAGACCAGGATATGAATCCCCAAATTTAGCCATGGAAACCCCTGGAATGATTCTAGACAAGTCAAGCTTTCTCAGCCTCAGAGGAAGGCAATGACAAACCTCTGTGAACAAATCTTGCCAGGAAAGCCCTGTAATGGGGACACCATAAATTAGAAATGACTTGAATTATTAACTAACTAAAACTATATGTGTCACAAAAGCAGCCTTCTACAGTAAGAGTATCTTTATCTAAACCATAGTTCTGAGATATATCACTATGTTTCACCATAGACACCTGAAACTTGGCATGACTACTAACAGGACCCTATAGGTGTGAACACGAAGTTTATTTTGTTTCTAAGTTAATTCAATATATTGAAATGTGTCAATTAAAAGCTTCTTTATGGTGAGTTGAGCCACTACATGAATTTGAAGCAGAGAGAGATTGCCTGAGTTGCAGAATACATGGTGTACTTCTTTGTGTACATTTTGTTCAAAAACTATTCTATCTTAAATTTTGTTTGTGCAGGCAGCTGTTATCAACAGGCAAAGAGTCTCTTACATACAGCTGTTCCAGATCAGCTGCATGCCAGAGAGAAGGAGACAGGTGTTCTCCATCACTTCCTCCAGGAACACGTCTGCAAGGAAAAACCTGGAAGCCTTTATGTCTCTGGTGCTCCAGGGACTGGGAAAAGTGCTTGCCTGAACAGGGCCCTCCTGGACTTGAAGGTAACCACAGGAGCCTGAATTCGGGTGCTAACATTTCTTTTTAATATACTATAGAAACATGCAACATAGAGTTTAATATAATGTTGGAACATAAAGTCACCCTGGAAGATGTAGCGAATTCCCCAGGGAGGTTACCTCTCGGGGAATTTTCTAAGTTCTCTAGAGCAGAGCTTCTTAAACTTTTCCACTCATGACCCGTTTTGGCCCGAGAATGATCCTGGGCATATCTATATGATTAAAATATAATGTTCGTTTGTGGGATTAACATAACTCAAAAACCACTGGACGAATTGACTCCAAATTTGGACAGAATATGCCTAACAACCCAATGAGTGACCACTCAAAAATTTTGATATTGTCATTTGGGAGTTGTAGTTGCTAGGATTTCTAGTAGGTGTTTAAAATAGGTATAAAATCAATCATTTCTTGATTTTTAAAGCATTTGCAAGGGTGATTTTCCTTTTTCAGAAGTACATTTGAGGCATCTTCTGCAGAGTCCACTGTAAATGAGGCACAAGAGATTGATAAAATAGTGTTTCTCAAACTTTCTAATGCTGCGACCCTTTAATACAGTTCCTCATGTTGTGGTGACCCCCAACCATAAAATTATTTTTGTTACTACTTACATAACTGTAATTTTGCTACTGTTATGAATTATAAAATTAATATCTGATATTCAGTATGTATTTTCATTCACTGGACCAAATTTGCCACAAATACTCGATTCTCCTCAATTTGAATGCTGGTGAGGTGGGTGGGGATTGATTTTGTCATTTGGGAGTTGTAGTTACTGGGATTTATAGTTCACCTACAATCAAAGAGCATTCTGAACTTCACCAACAATGGAATTGAACTCCCATGACCACCAGAAAATACTGGAAGGGTTTGGTGGCCATTTACCTTGAGTTTTGGAGTTGTAGTTCACCTATATCCAGAGAGCACTATGGACTCAAACACTGATAGATCTGGACCAAACTTGGCATGAATACCCAATATGTCCAATTGTTAACACTGGTGGAGTTTGGGGAAAATAGTCCTTGATATTTGGAAGTTGTAGTTGCTGGGATTTATGTAGTTGCTGTCATCTACAATCACAGCATTCCGAACCTCACCAATGATACAATTGGGCCAAACTTCCCACACAGAACCCCCATTCCTTGAAGGGCATGAGCCTCCCTTTCCCCCTTTTGCGTGCTCTCTGTCACCTAAACATTTATACCACGGTGCTATGCGCCAAGCATGCCTGCTCTCCCCTCCCCTCTTGGAGTCCAGCAACAGCCCTCCCCTTGGCTGAGAAGCCGGCCAATCACAGCTGAGGAGGGCTTTTGGTGGGAGGATTCGCCACCTTCTGTTTCCAAAAGGAAGTGAAGGACAGGTGGAGAGGTCTTCAGCCTTCTCTACCAAAGGGGTTCCTAAGACCGATAGATAGATAGATAGATAGATAGATAGATAGATAGATAGATAGATAGATAGATAGATAGATAGATAGATAGATAGACAGATAGATAGATAGACAGACAGACAGACAGACAGACAGACAGACAGACAGACAGACTATTTATTTATAACATTTCTACCCCACTGTTCTCACCCCCGCAGGGGGACTCAGAGCAGCTAACAATGGCAACGATTCGATGCCGCAATAATTACAATGATAAAAACAAGATAAAATCATACAATACAGTAAATTACAACAACATTAGTTATACAATCATAATGGCAATTCCATTATAACAATCGTATGGTCCAATTCAATGTTCAGATGCCATTATATCCATTATCCAAAAGCCTGGTTCCACAACCACGACTTCAGTTTTCTTCTGAAAGAAAGGAGGGAGGACGCCGATCTAATTTGGCTGGGGAGCAAATTCCACAGGCGAGGGGTCACCATTGGGAAGGTCCTGTCCCTTGTCCCCATCAGCCGTGTTTGCAAAGCTGGTGGGACCGAGAGCAGGGCCTCCCCAGTGGATCTTAGACTACGAGGCGGAACGTAGAGGGAGATACGTTCGGAGAAGTAAGCTGGGCCGGAGTCGTATAGGGCTTTATAGGCCAAGACCAGCACTTTGAATTGTGCTCGAAAATGGACCGGCGTCCAGTGGAGTTGATGTAACAGGGGGGTAGTATCCTCCCTGTATGATGCTCCAGTGAGTAATCTGGCTGCCGCCCGTTGGACTAGTTGAAGTTTCCGAACAGTCTTCAAAGGCAACCCCACGTAGAGTGCATTGCAGTAATCTATTTGTGATTTAACCTATATGTTTTCTAATGGCCTTTGGTGACCCCTCGCTCCCCCCCCCCCCCCCCCCTAGCAAGGGTCCCGACCCCCAGGTTGAGAAACGTTGCTCCAAAACAACCACAAGGTTTTGTTCAGAAAACTTTCACTGATCTCAATTTTTTTCAGGACCCCATCATTGAGATTAGAATACTTCATTTGTGGTTGGGTCTCATAGTTTAAGAAGCAATGTTCTAGTGTAGGCATGGGCAAACTTCGGGCTTGCAGGTGTTTTGGACTTCAATGGAATTGTGGGAGGTGAAGTCCAAAACAGCTGCAAGGCCGAAGTTTGCCCATGCCTGCTCTAGAGCCACTTTATGATAACTTCTGTTAGCAGTCTTTCAGTTCAATAGTATTCAATAAGTATTATTCATAATGTCCTATTTCCACAATAGGTTCAGGAGCATCCCCCCCCCCCCCCCCCCCCCCCCCCCCCCCCCCCCCCGGGCAGATCTCACTGTATTTCCATTACAGAGGCTTTTGCAAATTTCTGTTTCATCTCATTCTTTTGTATCTCTCTTTGGCAGACTGAGCTCATGGGAACTAAGACCATTGTTTTAAACTGCATGGCCTTGAGGAGCTCCCATGCTGTCTTCCCAGCCATTGCTGAGCAACTGGGCCAGACTGGAGCCGACAGAGCAGCCAGGAGTGATGTCATCAGAAAGCTGGAGAAGAGGCTGACGACAAAAGGCACCCCTATGGTGTGAGTACAAACTTTTTGTCAAACTGGCATCCTGCTTCATTTTTTCCCACTGGGAAGTAGGACTTTTTCAATCAAAATCAATCAAGAATTGCATATTTTGTATTAGGCATATTTTGTAAAGATGAGAGTTTCCATTTTATTGTTGTTGTTATTGTTGTTATTATTATTAGGCTTGAAAGGAAGATGTTGTGATAATGTCCTAGAATTTTCACCTACTATGTATTATGAAGCCCCTGGTGGCACAGCGGGTTAAACCACTGAGCTGCTGAACTTGCTGACCAAAGATTATTATTATTATTATTATTATTATTATTATTATTATTATTATTTACAGCTTTTATATTCCGCCCTTCTCACCCCGCAGGGGACTCAGGGCGGATTACAGTGTACACATATATGGCAAACATTCAATGCCAATTTTTGACATACAAACATATACAGACATAGACAGAGGCTATTTAACTTTTTCTGGCTGCCAGGGGAGCTGTCGCTTTCATCGTCCATCTGCGACACTGATGAAGCACTTCCATATTCCCCGCATGCTTCCCCACTGGAATGCTTTGCTGGAGTCTTCTTTATGGCCTCATAAATCAGTTAATTTAGCCTCCCCACACTTTAAGGTGGTACCTTATTTTCCTACTTGACTGATGCAACTGTCTTTCGGGTTGCAAAGGTCGACAACAGGCTACACACAATTGGTTGGAAACCCACTCCAACCCGGGCTGGCTTCGAACTCATGACCTTTTTGGTCAGAGGGATCTTAATGCAGCTGACACTCAGCCAGCTGCACCACAATCCCTGGATTAGCATTTCTAATCCAGAGAGCAGGGGTGAGCTCCCATTGTTAACCCCAGCTTCTGCCAACCTAGCAGTTCGAAAACATGCAAATGTGGGTAGATCAATAGGTACTGATTCTGCGGGAAGGTAACGACGTTCCATGCAGTCATGCTGGCCACATGACCTTGGAGGTGTCTATGGACAATGCCAGCTCTTCGGCTTAGAAATGGAGATGATGACCACCCCTCCGAGTTGGACACAAATAGACTTAATTTCAAGGGAAACCTTTACCTTATTTATTATAGAGCAAAGAGTGAGCAGGTGGTATCCTTCTGATAAGTGGAGTAGGTTCTTTCCTGGTAAGATTAATTTGAAAAAACAGTCCAGGAATAGGAGTTTAAAGAGGGATCATAGCCCTTCCTCGTGCTCCCTCCTCACTTTAATTCCTTCCTCAGAGTATTCTTGAGGAATTGAAGTTTGATTAGGATTTAATATTCTTAAGTAACTGCTCATATGAACCTGGACGTTACTAATGATGACAAAGTGAGACAGTTGCTAGATTTCTGCCTGGAGTACACTGTAGAAATATGTGCTTAATAAAATGGTGTCTGTGAGATTTGTTATTCATCAGTCTTGGTGAAGCTGATTGTTACATGAATGGCTGGTTTATGGGGAGCTGAGTTTATATTTATGACTGTGTTGCCTGGAATCTATCCTCCTAATCTATTATTAGGATCTTATTGGAAACTTTGATCCTGGCAATATTGCAGATTGTAGTAGTTCTTTCTGTCTCAGAAACATGCCAGATTTTCCACATTTAGTTACATAAGATATGTTTTGGGTGAGAGATGTAAAATTTCTAGCCTTGCTAGAAATAGATTCTAGATTGAAAGTCATTTTGTTATTGCAAACATCAAATATGTTTATTTGGTTTGCCAAATAATTAGAGTGTTTGAAATAATGTACAGTTTATTGAGAGCATAATTACAAAAATACTATCTTTGTTGCTAGTGAGTTTGCAATGAAACTGCAAGGCCAATGTGAATTGTAGCCGATTTGAGTCTCTTCTAAGAGAAAAGGCAGGATAATAATAATAATAATAATAATAATTTTGAGAATAGCTTTTGTTTGGCAGTTTACTAGGAGCATGAAAACAGGAATAAAAGGGAAAGATATCATCAACATTAACACAACAAACCCCCTATTTTGTCTCCTCTTCTATAGCATTAATCAGACATGAACTAATTTTCATAAAGAGAATGTGGAAAAAGATATAGGAAAGAGCAAACAATTTTTCCTAATTTTTGTGTTTTCTGTCTGGGTCTTCATATCTAGTTTAGATGTGTTTTGAGACAAAGCCTCCTCAGAGGTCTGGATCTAATGTTAGTACCATCTATAAACATTATAGCTGTGGCGCAGTGGTTAAACCCTTGTGCCGGCAGGACTGCTGACCGAAAGGTCGGCGCTTTGAATCCGGGGAGCAGGGTAAAATCCCATCTGTCAGCTCCAGCTTCCCAAGTGGTGACATGAAGTAGCCTCCCATAGGATGGTAAAACATCCGGGTGTCCCCTGGGCAACGTCCCTGCAGAGGGCCAATTCTCTCACACCAGAAGCCACTTGCAGTTTCTCAAGTTGCTCCTGACACACATACAAAAAAACAACAACAAAGCAGCTATAAAGTAGAGCCAGTGAATCAGTGGTGCTTACATAAATGTTAGCTTACTAACCTATAATTGAATGAGGGTAACAAGTAAGTATAGGTCATGATAACTTAGAAAATAATATTGTGAAACTGACAAATGATAAATGATCAAAAAAAGTAAAAATGTTCAAATCAGCCCCTGTTCATTTAATAGCAGAGTGGAACATACAGATCTTTGTGATCCTTTAGAAAAACAATCAAATAAGGAACCAACCAGACTGGGAAAAACTGGCATCTTATCCCTTGAGTGTAAAAAAATATAACTATAAAGTGTTACTTCAATATTTACTAGTTCTAGTGACTAGAAATATTTCTTTTGAAAAAGCAGATAAATTACTGCAATTTCAAAAAGTTTCTACAATTTTATACATATATATATATATATATAGAAAGAGAGAGAGAGAGAGTGTGTATCTAACAGCAATGATGTCCACCCCATGGGACAAGTTGCAGTTGATGGGTTTTGATGATTGTTTGGATGCCTAGATGGTACAAGAAGGACTTTCGGGAGCTGCTGCCTTCCTTATCTTTGGATTATTTGTCCGGCCTTCACATTACTTTCTTCCTAGCCTTAGAGGAGTGATGCTCACACGTTTGTTTGCTTTACAGTTTGGTTGTTTTAGATGAGATGGACCAACTGGACAGCAAGGGACAAGATGTTCTCTATACAGTATTCGAATGGCCTTCTCTGCCCAACTCCCGGCTTGTTCTCATTGGTAAGTGTCAAAAAGGCTGTTTTACAATATATTTTTGAGAGCAGGAATATCGGAAAAAGAGTGGAAACGATTCCAGGAGTTTTGAGTTTTTCAGCCCTTTCGAAGCCTACTTGAGCACATCTGGAGACCAAGAGATTTGGAAAAGCCTTTTAGGTGGAATACAAGAAACCCAACACTTCAAAAGATCAGAGGTGCAAAACCCTGTGAAGAAAATGTAAATTTTTACATGAGAGGAAGGCCCCTCTAGATCTTCCAGGGTGATTCTGGTCAATGTGTGCCAATAATTGACCATTGAATTGAATCTAAAGAAAACATAATAATCAAATTCGATAATAATGAAGCTCATAAACTCTCAAAGGAGGAGTGCTTGACTGGACTTTGCAGGAAAACTAAGCTATTTCCTGCACAAAAATGCTTGAAGTCCTTGATGTTCATACTTCTTTGCTATACTTTTTGTCAGTAAGGTGTTGATGTGCTATGAGGGCTGCCTACTCATTTGTGTACTTGAACATTGCTGGTTTTCACTAGAGTGGGAGGTGGACTATATTTCAGAAAGCCGCTGCCAGATGGGTAATTTGAATGTGTTTATGTTTCGGCCTTTTAACAGCAAATTCATATCCATTCTGATGTAAAATTTATGAGGGAAAGAATACCGCTGTAGACTTTTAAATTTATTTTTGTTGGCAGGTATAGCCAATGCCTTGGATCTCACGGATCGCATCCTGCCCCGCTTGCAAGCCCGCCCCAAGTGCAAACCCCAGCTGCTAAATTTTCCCCCTTACAACAAAGATCAGCTTGCTGCCATCCTTCAGGAGCGCTTGAAGCAGGTAAGGTCTTGGCAACAAAGCCCCACAGTTTCAGTTGTAGTCTTAAGCAGCCAACAGAAGAAGTAGTGGCATCCACTTTAGAGAGTGCAGCTGAAGCATTATTTGTCTTTCCTGCTTCTTGGCAGGGGGTTGGACTGGATGGCCCATGAGGTCTCTTCCAACTCTATGATTCCATAATTATCTGAAATTTCAGAATCCAAAATTGTGTCATAGAGGGCTAAGATAGTGACGCCTTTCCAGTCTGATGGTTCAATATACACCAAACGTTTCACGCACAAAATTGATAACAGATAAACCCTTGTACCAGTAAGACTGCTGATTGATAGGTCAGCGGTTCAAATCCAGGGAGAGTTGGTTGAGCTCCTCTGTCAGCTCCAGCTCACCATACAGGAACATGAGAGAAGCCTCCTACAGGATGGTGAAACATCATACATCCGGGCATCCCCTGGGCAACATCCTTGCAGACAGCCAATTCTCTCACACCAGAAGTGACTTGCAGTTTCTCAAGTCACTCCTGACACAAAAAAAATTCTTCAGACTATGTATGTAAGCATATATGGTTTTTTTTTATTGAACATGGGTCCCATCCGCAAGATATTATGTACCATATATACTCAAGAATAAGCCAAGTTTTTCAGCCCTTCTTTTAGGCTGAAAAAGTCCCTCTTGGCTTATACTTGAGTCAAAGTTATTTCTTATTTTACTCCTTTATTATTATTATTATTATTATTATTATTATTATTATTATTATTACATTTATTATTTTACTCTATTATTGTTATTACATTTATTATTTTACTCTATTATTACATTTTCATGATTTTACTCTATTGTTATTATTACATTTATTATTCATATTTTATTATTTATTATATATTAAACTAAGCAAGTGAGGCTTGTATATCTGGAATGTCCAGGGTGGGAGAAAGAACTCTTTGTCTGTTTGGGGCAGTTGGCCACCTTGATTAGCATTGAATGGCCTTGCAGCTTCAAAGCCTGGCTGGTTGCCTGCCATAGATGTGGGTGAAACATCAGGAGAGAATGGTTCTGGAACATGGGCATACAGCCCGGATAACTCACAGCAACCCAGTGATTCCAGCCATGAAAGCCTTCAACAAGCCATCTGTTCTTTCCGTTTTGCATTTCATGCATGTTCTGTGAAAGATTCTAGAGCAGTGGTGCTCAACCTGTGGGTCCCCAGATGTTTTGGGCTTCAACTCCCAGAAATCCTAATCGCTGGTGAACTGGCTGGGATTTCTGTGAGTTTTAGGCCAAAACACCTGGGGACCCACAGGTTGAGAATCACTATTCTAGAGGGAGCTGCTGTGTACTTTTCCTGTTGTAGACCAAGGATAGATGTATGTAAAATTATGGAGAGAGGGGTATGAGAGAAAAGCATAATCAAAACATCCCTGCCAGATGGCCATCCAGCCTCTGTTTAAAAGCCTCCAAAAAAGGCACCTCTACCACACTCTGAGGCAGAGAGTTCCACTGTTGAACAGTTCTTGCAATCAAAAGGTTTGTTTATTATGTATTTAAAACATTTATATTATGACCTTCTCACCCTGAAGGGGACTCAAGGTGGAGCACAACATATATACAGCAAACATTCAATGCTGGAACATAAAATAAACTATAAATATACATAAACACTAAAATAAGTTAAAAAGTTCCTAAATGTTCCTAAAAAGTTTTTCCTAATGTTCAAGTGCCTCCGGTGGCGCAGTGGGTTAAACTCCTGTGCCATCAGGACTGAAGACTGACAGGTTGCAGGTTCGAATCCGGGGAGAGCACGGATGAGCTCCCTCTATCAGCTCCAGTTCCTCATGCGGGGACATGAGAGAAGCCTCCCACAAGGATGGTAAAACATCAAAAACATCCAGGTGTCCCCTGGGCAACATCCTTGCAGAAGTCCTGCAATTTCTCAAGTCGCTCCTGACACGACAATAAAATAAAAAGGTGGAATCGCCTTTCTTGCAATTTGAACCCATTGCTCACAAGTCCTAGTCTCCAGGGCTGCGGAAAACAAGCCTGCTCCTTCTTCCTTATGATACCTTTTCAATTATTTAAACATGGCTGTCATGTCTCCTCTTTGGTCTTGATAACTCTTGTGCCTTCCCCCCCCCCCCCCTTAAGTTACTATTATTTATTTATTTATTGTGTCAGGAGCAGACCAAACAGTTGCATTGCATTTTTTAACAAACAAACAGACAAACAGAACACAACGTTTGGAAGCTTGGTAGTTGATTAAATGTCCTTTGACCAGTAGCTGGCCACTTGGAGTGCCTCTGGTGTTACTATAAGTGTTGCTGCAAGGAGGTCCTCCATTGTGCATGTGGCAGGGCTCAGGTTGCATTGCAGCAGGTGGTCTCTTCTCCACACTCGCATGTCGTGGATTCCACTTTGTAGCCCCATTTCCTAAGGTTGGCTCTGCATCTCGTGGTACCAGAGCGCAGTCTGTTCAGCGCCTTCCAAGATGCCCAGTTTTCTGTGTGCCCAGGAGGGTGTCTCTTATTTGGTATCAGCCATTGATTAAGGTTCTGGGTTTGAGCCTGCCACTTTTGGACTCTCGCTTGCTGGGGTGTTCCAGCGAGTGTCTCTGTAGATCTTAAGTTACTAGCCTTTATTGTGAAGTTATATCATAAACCTGTACATACGTATACGACCCAAACATGGTTGGTTGTAATCTTTAACAAATGTGCAGCGAGGAGGCTAAAGGTTGCCATCTGCTGATAATACATTATCTGCCCGTCTTGACTTGATAACTTAGCATCTGTGTCCATTCAATCTGTCTCATTGTTTCCCTTAGCTGAAGCCCATATCTCTTCTGTCTCTTTCTTTACCTACCAGCTACGTCGTTTGCCGATAGTAACAAATGTAGTAGGAATTCAATGGAGTCAAGACTGAGTTTTATTGAGAGCTTGTGGGCTGAGGCGGCAGAGCTGGCCTTCTGCAACCCGTGCCTAAAGCCTCTTGGTATTTTTTTCTCAGAGGCCAAAAAGATGTCATAACAAAGAGCCTGCTCTTGTAACCCTCTGCTCCGCTCTCTGTCCCTCAGGTGTCAGGGGAGCAGGTGCTGGACAACGCCGCCATCCAGTTCTGCGCTCGGAAAGTCTCTTCCGTCTCCGGGGATGCCCGCAAAGCTCTGGACATCTGCAGGTGAAGAATATATCGCACTCTTAAAATTCAAGCTAATTACGGCGCACGGGGATGTGATTTAAGGCTTCATTATGGCGTTTGGTCCCCCTGCTTGGAGAGCGGGAGAGGCGGCCCTCGTGCCTTTGTGGGAAGAAGGGAGGGTGCTGCCTCCTGGCTGTGTTAATGTCTGGAAATATTCACAGCCCATTACCTATGAAGGGTGAGAGGAATTGGTCCTCCCTGCTGCGATTATAGATTGGTTAATTACATTTGGATTGCAAAAGGCCCTCATTAACAGTGCTCAAGCAGACATCTTTATGGGGCTTGGAAGAGTTTTCTTTTCCCTGGCAAGTGAGTTTATCAGGGTTGCCATTCGCCTTCCTTGACCTCACTGTAGTAGCATTAACTTGTTGGGCCTCTTCCCCTGAATTTGGCTCAAAATTTCATACTGTAGCATAAGGACGTGACTCTAGGGGACAGTGGCGGTTTTCAGCACTATGATGCCAGGTCTTTTTTGTGCATGTGTGTGGTTTAGACATCTAGTTGTTTGGGGAAGAGACTAAAAAGTTAATTGTTTCCCATTTTGTTGCTGTAAAAAAGGCTCTGTATGCATGCCACCCCATGAGGCTCCTTCTGTGGAGGCTTTTAAGCAGAGGCTGAATGGCCATCTGTTGGGGGTGCTTTGAAGGCGATTTTCCTGCTTCTTGGTAGGGGGTTGGACTGGATGGCCCACGGGGGTCTCTTCCAACTCTATAAATCAGTCCAAATTACAAGCAGAACCCAGAGCAAACAGCGGGCATTTTCCCAGAAGGGCATTGGCTCTAGATTATTGCTTCCTAAACTATGTGCCCTGACCCTTAATTCAACATTGAGGTTCTAAAAAAATTGGCATTATTATTATTATTATTATTATTATGATTCTTTAGTAAAGGTAAAGGTTTCCCCTGACATTAAGTATAGTCATGTCCGACTGGGGGTTCATACTCATCTCCATTTCTAAGCCGAAGGGCCGGTGTTGTCCATAGACACCTCCAAGGTCATGTGGCCAGCATGACTGCATGGAATGCCATTATCTTCCCGCCGGAGCAGTACCTATTGATCTACTCATATTTGCATGTTTTGAACTGCTAAGTTGGTAAAGCTGGGGCAGTCATTAACTCAAAATATCTTGTATCAGTATAACTGCTGGACTTGTTATTCACCTGTGGCAACTTTGCTTGAGTCTTGCTCCTCAAGAAAACAGGTTGAATCATTCTTGACATATCACAAACTGGTATATTTCTGTTTTCTTACCTCTGTTTAGTTTTGTGATTGGTTGTGTGGAGTTACTTCATTTTTTGTACTGTCCCTTTTCTTTTTAGTTTTTCTCTCACTACCCATGTTTTAAACTTTAATAAGTACTATCTTTGTATTCATAGATGAGGTAAATTCTTACTTTGTTTCCTTCTCAAAACACCATGTTTTGGTATTCAGTGATGGCAGGTCAATGATTTAAGTTGGGATTTCCAATATTTATTGTATCAGGAGCAAACCAAACGGCTGTATTGTATTTTTTTTAAAAAAACACAAAGTTCGAAAACTTGGCATTATGCTAAATGTCTTGTGACCAGTAGCTGGCCACTTGGAGTGCCTCTGGTGTTGCTATAAGAAGGTCCTCCATTGTGCATGTGGCGGGGCTCAGACTGCATTGCAGCAGGTGGTCAGTGGTTTGCTCTTCTCCACACTCGCATGTCGTGGACTCCACTTTGTAGCCCCATTTCTTAAGGTTGGCTCTGCATCTCGTGGTGCCAGAGTGCAGTCTGTTCAGCGCCTTCCAAGTCGTCCAGTTTTCTGTGTGCCCAGGAGGGAGTCTCTGACTTGGTATCAGATTGTCTGGGGAGGCCCTGCTCTCAACTCCGTCTGCGTCACAAATACATTTGGATGGGACGAGAGACAGGGCCTTCTTAGTAGTGGTCCCTTGCCTATGGAACACCCTTCCTAGGGACATCAGATCAGCTCCCTCCCTTTACACTTTCCGGAAAAAAGTCGAAACCTGGCTGTTCGAGCAGGCGTTTGAAAAAGCAGACATAGGATTATGGAACAATTGGACTGTGAGATCGGATTATGTATAGGAGATGAAATGATTTGTTTTTATTAATTGTTATGGTCTTAATTGATATATTAAAGCTTGTAAATGTTTTTGTTTTTATGATGTTGTTGGAATTGAATTGTTGCCTTGTGAACCGCCTCGAGTTGCCTGCGGGCTGAGAGGGACAGTATACAAATGTAGCAAATAAATAAATATCAACCATTGATTGAGGTTCTGGGTTTGAGCCTGCCACTTTTGGACTCTTGCTTGCTGAGGTGTTCCAGCGAGTGTCTCTGTAGATTTGTAGGATTTCCAATGACAAATATGCTGTCAAGCTACTGATCCTTTCTCTCCACCATCAAAATACTATTTCTGCCATATCCTGCAGCCCCTAAAATGCCCTTTTATGTTTATGCAAAGTAAACTAACAGCTCTAAATTATGGCTGGATCATTTCCCCCTTCTCCCCCCTTCAAATATTATAAAAGCTAGCAAAGACCTCAACAATAAAAGCCATACAATGCTCTTAAATGTTCTTATTGCTGTTCCAAAACAACTCATATTGTTTTGTAACTGCTGATAATTTAAGACAGATGCTTGGTCTTGTAACCTAAATGTTATTTTAGCTGAAGAATAGTTGTCAACTTAAAGATATTTAGTCCTGCCTCATGCCACCCATCAGGTGTCCAAATTAGACGGGTTGGCAGGGAGGCCTTGGGTGGAGGACTGCCTCTAGCACCACTTCCGCTGCAACAAATAGAGCGTTATTCTCATTAAGAGGCAAGATAGTAATGAGCTCCCATTAATGGCCTGTGCATGCCACACCAGGCCTCCTTCCTCTTTGTGTAGAGCATGCTTGCCTAGTTTCCCTCTTGTGACTCTTCATCACTGCTTGGGAGCACTGGGGTGAGAAGACGAGGTAGGGATGCAAATAGAATAACCACCCAGTATGAGGACATAGAGGGGGTGGTTTAGGTATCTTATTATGGTAACAGACCCCGTGTCAGGCCATTGGGTTTCAGTTGGTGGTCAGAGCCCAAAACTGGATGCAGCCTGAGATAGGATGTTCCAAACTTGTTGGAGAAGAAATGTGAAGATAATGTAAAAGGATTACATTGAATGTTTGCCCTTTATGTTTGGAATCCGCCCTGAGTTCTTTGGGGAGATAGAGCGGAATATAAATAAAGTTGTTGTTGTTGTTGTTGTTATTATTATTATTATTATTATTATTATTATTATTATTATAGGATGAGACAAAGATGGGGTGGTACAGCTCTTTTAAGGCTTTGAATGCCTCCTCCCCAGTTTGGCCTCAAATGCTTGTGGTTCATTTTCTATCTACAAAAAAAGACTTCAGTATCTAAAATTACATTTGGAAATAAAATCAATCTAATTAAAAGGTAAAAAACTTAGGTGAGAGAGTCAGCCAGAGTGGTCTGGCACTATATGAAAACTGAAAATTAAACTGAAGATAAATACAAGAGATATAGAAGTTGAAGAGGAAAACAGTCCACTTTAGGACATATTACCTAAGAGAGAAAAATTTAAGGATGGTTAACATAACAAAAGGAACAGCTCAAGAAGAAAGAGCAGAAGTCAATAAATTGGGGGGGGGTTTCTCCTCTCCTCTCCTCTGATTATTCCTACTTTCCTATCTTCTATACAATATTCCCCCACTTTCCCTGTAAATCTTTTTTTATAAGTTCTCAATAAACGTTGTTTTTTTTTAAAAGAATCCAGGGAGCAGGGTGAGCTCCTGCTGTTAGCTTTGAACCTGGTAGTTCAAAGATATGAGTAAATTTGAGTAGATCAATAGTTACCGCTCCAGCGGGAAGGTAATGGTTCTCCATGCAGTTATGCAGGCCACATGACCTTGGAGGCGTATACGGACAACGCCGGCTTGTATAGAGTCATTAAGGGGAAACCTTAATGACTATACAGCACTTCGTTCTTCTCTTTTCATTCATTCTTCCCTATTCTGCGTTTATATAAATTTTTGCTATTCTTCATACCCAGTTCAACCTTTGCCTTATAGTACAGAAGCTCATGCAATGGGATGGGGCTGCTGAATTTTTGACAGAATAATGCATGTGAAGGGCTTAAAGGCACCAAGTCTTATCTGATTTTGAAAGCTAAGCAAGGGTTAGTTTTGGTTAGCACTTTGATGGGAGACCGCCAAAGAATGCCAGGTGCTGTAGGCTGTGTTTTAGAGGAAGGAACTGGTAAACCCATTTCTGTGCATTCCTTGTTTTAAAAAACTATGAGATTCATGGGACTGCCATAAGTGAAAGCATGTGCACGCACTGTACGTTTTTACCAAAACAGTGGCATGGGCTGTATGCAGTTTAATTAGGTGATAAAATGTGTAAAATACTAATGATCTAAAATGTAACGTTCATCCTTAGGAGGGCCATTGAGGTTGTGGAATCTGATGTGATGAGCCAAACTGTGCTGAAAGTCCCGCCTGCCTGTAAGTAGCTTCTCCCCATTCTTCCCCCTAAGCAGATGCTCGGCTGCTGTGCCGCACTGTCATGTTTCATTAACTGTTTCTCCTGACCCTGATTGGTCGCACTTCTTCCCAGGGACTTGTTTGAGCCTTACTGGGAGGAAGGAATGATCATGCAGCTGGTTGGCAGAAAAGTTAGTTTTCCTTCCGGCATTAGTGAATCAGACAGCCCTGAAGAGGAAGGCTGCACCTGCTTCCTGCCTTTCCTCTCTGGATCCTGGCCTTAAGTGCACCTAGTGCAGCATGAATACAGGTGCAAAACAGATACGTTAAGGGATCTGAAAGCAGGAATCTCTCAAATGGAGTTTACAGACTGTGTGTCGTGAAGATCTAGAGCTATGGGTCCCAACTCCAAAAATTGGCAACAGTAAAAGGTTTCTGAATGCCAACTCGTGGCTGCTTTTGACATTTACATGAATCTGTTGTGTTGTGTTTACAGTGGATTCTGCAGAAGATGCTCCAGCTATACTTGATAAAAAGAAAAAAAATAGCCTATTTGGAAAGCCTTGCAAATGCTGGTTTTTAAATCAACGAATGTTTGATTTTATATCTATTTTATATACTTGGGGTCAATTCAAAATTTCTGAAGTCGAAAGAGGCATGAGTATGGTAAATTTTAAGAAGCTCTGGTCTAGTGAAGCAATTGGTTTGGGTTCTACCTGCGTATTTGTGACTTGTATCCTTTGAAATTGGAGCCCCCTGTGGCGCAGCGGGTTAAATCACTGAGTTGCTGAACTTGCTGAGGTTCTAATTCAAGGAGCGGGGTGAGCTCCCGCTGTTAGCCCCAGCTTCTGCCAACCTAGCAATTTGAAAATATGCAAATGTGAGTAGATTGATAGATGTTGCTCCAGGGGGAAGGAAACGGCACTCCATGCAGTCATGCTGGCTACATGACCTTGGAGGTGTCTAAAGACAACGCCGGCTCTTCTGCTTAGAGATGGAGATGAGCACTGACCCCCAGAGCAGGACACGACTAGACTTAATGTCAAGTGGAAACCTTTATCTTTACTATCATTTGAAATTAGAGGATAAAGACTCTGTGCATTGGGGGTTATAATCTATGCCTGAATGGAAGACTGGTCAGAAACTCTTTGTGGAAACTCAAACACAAGTTGTACAACACTTTTGAGCAAGTATTTGCAGGTGCAGTGTAACAGGCTAATTTAGATCCACAGAATGATTGGATGATGCGACTGGAAAATGATTTTAATAATATGACGCTGAGGACTTGTGTTTTTATTGTTTTTATTGTTTCTACTGTTTTTATATGACTTATATTATATGTTAATGTTTTAAATTAAATTTTATATTGTTGGGGGCATTGATTGCCGACTGTAAACCGCCTTGAGTTGCTTTCAGGCTGAGAAAGGCGGTATATAAATATGCTAAATAAATAAAAACTGTATATACTCGAGTACAAGCCTCGTTTTTCAGCCCCTTTTTTATGCTGAAAAAGCTCCCCTCGGCTTATACTCGGGTCAAGGTTATTTATTCTTTTACTCTGTTATTAGTATAATTTTATTACATTTATTATTTTACTCTATTATTATTATATTTACATTATTTTGCTCTATTATTATTCTATTTATTATTTTGTTCTATTATTACATTTATAGTATTTTACCCTATTATTATTATTGCATTTATTATTTTAATCTAATTATTATTACATTTACAGTATTTTACCCTATTTTTACTACATTTATTATTTTACTCCATTATTACTGTCTTTATTGCATTTTCATTGTTTTACTCTATTATTTTTATTATATTTATTATTTTAATAATAAGTACATTTACATTGAAGGAGGTTAGAATAATGGTTTAATAAGAGTTGGACAGTCTTATCTTAAATTACAGTTTTATGTAAACATTCAGAAACATTTAGCCTATCGATGCCTCAATTAATGTAATTTCATTGGTATCTATTTTTATTTTGAAATTGACCCATAGTGGATGCATTTCCCACCCTCGGCTTATACTCGAATCAATACGTTTTCCCAGTTTTTTGTGATAAAATTAGGTGCCTCAGCTTACATTCGGGTCGGCTTATTCTCGAGTATATACGGTAAATACACACACCGAGACACACACGGGGATTGTTCTGCAGCAATGCCATTTTGAACCATCCAATGCTGAGTGGAGACCTTTTACCAGGAGTCTCTCTCATTTTACATTGTTACTTTTATCTATACAGTGCATTATAAGTTCTATTTTTCCTCTCTATCCATCTAATCACAATTCATTTTCTGATTTCTCCCTCCTCAGGCAAATCCCATTCTCAACCAGCCACAGAGTTGTCCGTGCCCAAACGGGTGGGATTGCTCCATGTCTCCCGTGTGATCTCTGAGGTGTATGGTGATCGGATGGCAGCTAGCAATGCCTGTGGTGATGCCGACTCCTTCCCCTTGCAACAGAAAATCTTGGTCTGTTCTCTGCTGCTCTTAGCCAAGCATCAAAAATCCAAAGAGGTGACCCTCGGAAAGGTGCGTCTCACCAACTCACTAATAACTACTCTTTCATCTGATACCACAATTTTTCTTTCCAAAAAGTCTTACAACTACAATAGTGGGATAGAGCTGTACATGCAGAGTGAGTGAGTCATAGCATGGCTCCACTTAAAAAAAATTAGCTGTCTGTGCAGGACTTAGAATACATAAGAAAGTAGGAATATGTAAAGGAATCAGCACTTTCTGCACCACCACCCCCCTTTCTTTTAAAACCTTGGGAGTTAATGAAGGCCATTTATGTCACAGATTGAATTACCATATATACTCGAGTATAAGCCGACCTGAGTATAAGCCGAGGCACCTAATTTTACCACAAAAAACTGAGAAAACGGATTGACTCGAGTATAAGCCGAGGATGGGAAATGCAGCAGCTACTGGTAAATTGCAAAATAAAAATAGATACCAATTAAATTACATTAATTGAGGAATCAGTAGGTTATATATTTTTGAACATTTACAAAAATGGTAATTTAAGATGAGACTGTCCAACTCTGATTATTTACCTTCTTCAATGTAAATGTGCTTACGTATCCTTCCAATAATAATAAAGAGAGTAACATGATTAATGTAAAAACAACAATAATAAAAAGTGTAAAATAATGAATGTAGCAATAACAACAATTATACAATAAAATAGTAAATGTATAATAATAGAGTAAAATGATAATGTAATAATAATAAATAGAATAAAATAATGAATGAAATGAAAATAATAATAATAACAGAGTACAATAATAAATTACCTTGACTCGAGTATAAGTCGAGGGAGACTTTTTCAGCCTAAAAAAGGGGCTGAAAAACTAGGCGTATACTCGAGTATATACAGTACTTGAAGCATGGTCACTGCAGTCTCAGCTAAATGTTGCCATACTCAAAACCTCTAGTCCAGGGGTACTCAAACTAAGGCGCAAGATCCGGATACGGCCCTCCAAGGTTATTTATCCGGCCCTCACTCAGAGTCAACCTAAGTCTGAAACTATTTATTTGTTTATTTAGTACATTTCTATACTGCTCCTCTCAGCCTTCCAGCAACTCGAGGTGGTTTACAAGGCAAGAATTCAATGCCCCCAAGGACACAATTACAATATACAATATAAAAACACCAGCCACAATAAAATCAAACATTATAATGAAACATATGTCAAGCGATAATCATTAAAACAATGTCCAGTTCCGCCATATAGTTATTCCGTTATTATATCCGTTACTCCTTATTTTCAAATGCCCATGTCTTAAGATTCTTCCGAAATGATAGGAGCGAGGAAGTCGATCTAATCTCCCTAGGAAGGGCGTTCCATAACCGAGGGGCCACCAATGAGAAGGCCCTGTCTTTCGTTCCCGCCAACTGTACTTGTCATGATGGCGGGACCGAGAGCAGGACCTCTCCAGATGATCTTAAAGTCATCAGCCAAAAGCAGGCCCACACTTCCCATTGTAACACTAATAAGTTTGTATTTGTTAAAATTGTTCTTCATTTTAATTATTGTATTGTTTTCAAGTGGTTTTTTGCACTACAAATAAGATACGTACAGTGTGCATAGGAATTCATTCATTTTTTTTTCAAATTATAATCCAGCCCTCCAACAGTTTAAGGGACTGTGACTTGGCCCTCTGTTTAAAAAGTTTGAGAACCCCCGGTCTAGTCTTATCTCCTTATCTTTCCAACCACAGAGCGAGTAGGATTTGTCAAGGATATAGCAGCTCTTTCTTAAAATGTTGGTTTCTGCAGAAATGACATGAAAAGGATGGAAGCAGAAGCTTTTGAACTCCTCAGACTGGGACTATTACTCTCCCAAGACCATCCACTTAATTTGTGGCTGAATTGGGGATTTAACACCATGTTCTGAATCTTTTCTTTTTAGTTCCACTCACAGGATTTTTGTTTCTCTATCAGCCAGTTCGTTGCATTTTAAAAAGTGGAGAATCTAGTAGCAGAGCTAGAATGACTGAAGTATGGAGCAGATCTAATATTTGGCCTTGTAGCTACTTCTCTGGCTGAGCTGTGCAAGACACAATTGGGGGGGGGGGGGAGGCATCATCTCATTACAAGCTGTAGTTTTGTATCAAGCTAGCCTGATCCACTTGGATGGAGACAAGGGGAGAAGCTTTGATAAAGCAGTCATGTCCATGTCTGCTGAATTGAATCACTCTAGGTTTTCACAAATATTTTCTCCTTCCAGCTGCATGAAGCCTACAGCAAAATTTGCCGAAAACAGCAAATGGGAGCTGTTGACCAGTCAGAGTGCCTTTCACTCTCAGGCCTCTTGGAAGCCAGGGGTATTGTGGGGCTGAAGAAGGCTAAAGAAGCCCGGCTGACCAAGGTATTATTATTGTTATTATTATTATTTGATACACAACAAGATTAGTACATAGTAAGATGGAATGTGTCCAGAGGAGGGTGACTAAAATGATCAAGGGTCTGGAACAAGCCCTATGAGGAGCGGCTTAAAGAGCTGGGCATGTTTAGCCTGAAGAAGAGAAGTCCAAGAGGAGACATGATAGCCATGTATAAATTTGTGAGAGGAAGTCATAGGGAGGAGGGAGCAAGCTTGTTTTCTGCTTCCCTGGAGACTAGGACGCGGAACAATGGCTTCAAACTACAAGAAAGGAGATTCCATCTGAACATTAGGAAGAACTTCCTGACTGTGAGAGCTGTTTAGCAGTGGAACTCTCTGCCCTGGAGTGTGATAGAAGCTCCTTCTTTGGAAGCTTTTAAACAGAGGCTGGATGGCCATCTATTGGGGGTGCTTTGAATGCAGTTTTCCTGCTTCTTGGCAGGGGGTTGGACTGGATGGCCCATGAGGTCTCTTCCAACTCTATGATTCTATTATTCTAAACAAGATCAATATGCTGGCTTTTGTATTTGATCACATGTCGGACACTTCCCATGTGTCTAGGACTGTGTGATGTATTGGTGAATAATGCATGCAGATCCGATTAGGGTGGCCTTTTGCAGCTGACAATTGGTAATTTTGTCAGCGCCTATTATTTTTAAGTGCAGGCCAAGGTCTTTAGTTACTGCACCCAGTGTGCCGATCACTACTGGGACCACCTTTCTTAGCTTGAGCCAGAGAATAATAATAATAATAGTTGTTGTTGTTGTTATTATTATTATTATCCTGCTTTATATCTCTAAAAAAGAGGCTCAAAGCAGCTCACAATAAAACCAATACAATATAATTTAAAACCTAAAAATATACAAACATTAAAATATAATTCAAATCCTTAAAACCAGTTAATAAACTATTCATAAGGTACTATTACAGGACTGCTTTTGCGGTGGGTGGGGCTACAATGGGAATATGGGTATCCAAGAGAGTAAAGCAGCCATGTTCTATTAGACCAGTGGTTCTCAACCTGTGGGTCCCCAGGTGTTTTGGCCTCCAACTCCCAGAAATCCTAGCAGCTGGTAAACTGGCTGGGATTTCTGGGAGTTTAGGGTTAGGGTTAGGGTTACACCTGGGGACCCACAGGTTGAGAACCACTGGATTAGACAATGGCAACAAATTTAAAACATTACAAATCTAGAGAAATCCTCTACCCAGAGTCCAAGAAAGCTGCTGGTGACCAGACAGTGTTCACTCAGAATAGGAAAGTTTACTTGTTACATGAACTAGCTAAACTTTGGACTGATTTCTGAACTCTTTGGGTGCTTTCATCCTTGATACTAAACAAGCCTCAGATAAAGTAAAACTCTTTGCCTTGAAGATATGTAGCCTTGGAGTTAAACTCACTCTTTAAAATGGTTTGACATTGACCTTATTCCTCAATCTTATGCAGGGATGGGAAACATGTGATCCTTGACCTACAGTATGCATTTCTTTTTTTAAAAAATGATTGTCATGTTGCCCCCCAGTTCCCGTTGTAACGCATCCCTTTCTTTCTAGGTCTTCTTGAAGATCCAAGAGAAGGACATTGAGCATGCTCTCAAAGATAGGACCTTGGTTGGAAGCATCTTGGCTGCAGGCCTTTAGACTGGATCCTCAACTCACGTCTTTTGTGTATAGTACATAATCTTAACAGAGTATAATTATTTTAAAGTTTCCTTTGAGCCATATCACTGGTAGAATAAACTCCAGTTACTGTGACTTTTAAAATACGACTCGTAAATATGTGCAGTCATGATTGTTGGTGGCTTGTTCCTAAACTGTTCAATGTTCCAATAACAAATAACTCTCTATTGTAAAAAGCTTTCATGGCCGGAAACACTACTTTGTTGTAGGTTTTTTGGGCTGTATGGCCATGTTCCAGAAGCATTATCTCCTGACGTTTTGCCTGCATCTATGGCAGGCATCCTCAGAGGATGTGAGGACCTCACAACCTCAGAGGATGCCTGTGACAGATGCAGGCGAAATGTCAGGAGAGAATGCTTCTAGAGCATGGCCTTACAGCCCAAAAAACCTACAACAACCAAAATAACAGCCTTTAGAAGGGTGAAAGGATGCCAGTAATGCTTAGGAGGTGGGCTTTCATGCTTCGGCACATCACCCCCTTTTTGGATTTCAGAACTATCTTCCTCTGCAGCTTCCATCCTTTTCCCTACTGTCGCCCTCGCCTTCTGTATACAAACTGGAACTGCTTGTGTCACTCCTGGGATGTCTTTGCCTGTCTGTCTTCAATACTGGAGATGAAAGAGGATGAAGGCTGTCGGCAAGAGAGCCCATTTGCAGAAACAAAACCATTAACGTCACAGGAGGAAATAAGAAGGCCGCAGCTTCTCTTGTGAGCTCCTTTGAAGTCAGACTGTTTCCGTGAAACAGATGTCACTCATGCTGAGGCTTAGCATCGCAAGAGCTGCAGTGGGGCTTAGCAGGACACACCGCACACACATGCACACACCCCAAGGGCTCTGAGCATCTTAGCGTTTATGAACTGTGGATACAGCCTTTGCGCTAGAACTGGTTTATCCCAGGGCACAGTGCTGATCTGTTTCATTTCCAAGCCACTTCATGCAAAGCGCTGATTGGTTTTCTACCTTTGTGTGAATCTTTAAAATCCTTACTAAGCACACAGGGGTGACCTCTGAGTTGAAGTCTACCATGCATATATATGTATATGTTACAGGAGCGTTAGAAAAAAAACCTCCAAAAATTCCTGTCATATTTGAAGTGCTGCATGCTTTCCTTCTTTGGGAATGGCTTTCAGCCTCCTGAGAAGGGAGATGAATCAGGCGGATGAATGCATATTGAAATCTGTACAGCTGGATGTTTTTAACTCGCAGAGTATTGACATAATTTAATTGGATCCCCCCCCCCCTAACTTATACATTAAAATAATCTGGTTTTGATGTGTAGAATGTGTTTATTTTTGTTTGGCTTGGCTTCTCTCATGTTCACAACTTGGAACTGGTCTGTCTTGGGGGATTCGAATGGGTGGAGCCCCTTCGCCTAAGAATCCTGGTTTATGTCCTTGATGTCGCCTGGTATTTTTTTTCTAGTATCGGCTTAGCAAATGAGGGAGAAGCCACGATTAATCTCTTGTCCATTAGAGTAGGAGTAAAATTATGTCTGAGGCATACAAGGCCCGCTGATTGTAGTCCAATACCCACAGGGCTGGTGCTGTGCGCTGCCTTGAATGTCACGATGTACTTGAAATGGTGCCTTTCTTCCTTACATGCTGCACTTGCCTTGTTGCATGCATTCATTATGTGCCACAGTTGTTTCTGTCCAGCTGAAGAGAGATCCTGTTTCATTGAAAATAAGACAGTGTCTTATATTAATTTTTGCTCCCAAAGATGCGCTAGGTCTTAATTTCAGGGGGTGTCTTATTTTTCATAGAATCATAGAATCAAAGAGTGGAAGAGACCTCATGGGCCATCCAGTCCAACCCCCTGCCAAGAAGCAGGAATATTGCATTCAAATCACCCCTGACAGATGGCCATCCAGCCTCTGTTTAAAAGCTTCCAAAGAAGGAGCCTCCACCACACTCAGGCCATCAAATGCTAATCAAGGTGGTCAGTTGAAACATTCACACCTAATGTTCAGATGGAATCTCCTTTCTTGTAGTTTGAAGCCATTGTTCCAGGTCCTAGTCTCCAGGGAAGCAGAAAACAAGCTTGCTCCCTCCTCCCTGTGGCTTCCTCTCACATATTTATACATGGCTATCATATCTCCTCTCATAATCTTCTCTTTTTCAGGCTAAACATTTTCTTGTACTTTAAACCAGGGGTCCTCAAACTAAGGCCCGAGGGCTGCATACGGCCCACCAAGGTCATTTACCCGGCCCTCGCTCAGGGTCAACCTAAGTCTGAAACGACTTGAAAGCACACAACAACAACAACAATCCTATCTCATCAGCCAAAAGCAGGCCCACACTTCCCATTGAAATACTAATAAGTTTATATTTGTTAAAATTGTTCTTCATTTTAATTATTGTATTGTTTTAAGTGTTTTTTGCACTACAAATAAGATATGTGCATAGGAATTCATTCCTATTTTTTTCAAATTATAATCTGGCCCTCCAACAATTTGAGGGACTGTGACCTGGCCCTCTGTTTAAAAAGTTTGAGGACCCCTTCTTTAGACCCTTCAGCAGAAAAGCAGGCCTCCCCTAAAGCAGTGATTCCCAACCTTGCTTTGAACAGGGCCCACTTGACTAGGGACCACTCTTCAACATTAGTACCAAAAGGGACAGGGTTGGTTAGCTCTGCAGAAAGGTGTGGAAATCTATATAAATAATAATGTAATGTTTGTTTGTGGGATTAACATAACTCAAAAACCACTGGGTGAATTTATTTATTTATTTATTTGAAACATTTATATGCCGCTCTCCTCACCCCGAAGGGGACTCAGAGCAGCTTACAAGATATATATACATACATTATATTATTGATATCATACAGTTGGGTTGAAGAGAGCTGGCTGCTGCAAGTCCTGCCACAGAAGCATCGGGACCTCAAGGGCAAGTCTTGATGATGACATGCAATAATTCTGAGATTATTTTAAACCTTGAGATTATTTTAAACTTCTAAAGTTTTTATTTTTATCTGGAGACTACTGACCTTGATTTCCTCCTCTCTTACTGAAGATTGTTTTGGTGCAGCTAATACAGCTTTAAAGGCTTTAGATGCTGTTTGGAACTGTTTGGAAAACACCTAAGCTGCCTTTGGAAGTGCTGATAAATTAAACTTTTATCACAATGGTTTACACAAGAAACAACTATAAGGAGAAAGCTTTACCTCTACACGGACAAACACTAGCAACTGGGAAGATACAGCTAGCTGTTAAGTCTGTTGAGACCGAAGAGAGGAGGCTTTCTGCACAAGAGAGGAGACAAAGTCAAACAAAAATGACTAATTTTTTCCCTCTGGAAAGATTGCACCAGGGGCAGTTGGCGAACTCTGTGGAGGGCCCAAGGATTGCAAGGGTGGGCAATATTGCCATGACTGCTGAAGAGATGAAGGACTGGCCGATTGACACCAAAGGGCTATTATTGAAGGAGAGTAATATTATGGACTCAGGTGGTGGGAGAAGCTTGGCTGAGGAACTGGCACAAGCTGAGATGGAGAGTTCTGAGGCTATTGCAACACAAAACTGGAGCTTGGACCCAAAGCCAGGAAAGCCCCCAACCTTATCTCCAGAAGAGGGTCACTTTAATTCTCACACACCAAAGAATCTCTTACAACAGTATCCCTACCTTGACTTGCAACAAGGAGAAGATTCAAACGAGGGCTGTTTGCACCTGGAAGCTAAGTTTGCTGCCTTCTCTAATGATTTGCTGATAATTAAGAATTACCTACAGGAAAGTACTGGGCTCCTGAGTAGTCTTGCAAAAATAATTAAAGCGGAAGTCTTGGAGAGCCGGTGCAACTGTGATTCTATTATATTATTATCATAGTACAATATCACTTGTACAGCATGAACAGTATTGCAGCTTCCGGCCACCAGGGGGAGCTCATCACACAGACTACCACAGCAGGAACAGAGTACGCTATGGTGGCTTTGGGCCACCAGGGGGAGCTCACCACAGCAAAAATCACAGTGGCGACTTTGCTAGGTCTTACTTTCGGGGGAGTCCTTATAGTTAGCAATTCAGCAAAGCCTATACTAGGTCTTATTTTCAGGAAATGTCTTATTTTGGGGAAATGGTACCAAATTTTGAAAGCATGTCCTCATCACATGTGGTTTTCCCTTGTTATGTATGTTGGGGAGTCTGACTTGTTAGGCTCAAAAATAACCCACAGTTGGGGTGATTCCACCATAAATATAGCACAGTACCAGAATTAAACTTCATAACCAGGATAAACTTACGTGTGGTGAAACTGGGATAAGCTTCTATTCTAAGGATGGCACGGGATTGCAGAGACAGAAGTTTAGGTTCAAAAATATTTATTTAAGTAAAAGCTTACTGAGTCTCATCTTCTAAAGGAGGTAAAAGGGTAAAAAAGGTTTTTAACAATCCATGCAGCTATATTTTGCCTAAAGAGAGAAGAGAAATGCATCCTCACTGGAAAAAAAGGCAGTTGGGTGTTTCCACCATAGATATAGCAGAGTATCAACTCCACTGGACTGACCGCATTGTCCGGATGCCCGACCACGTCTCCGAAAGCAGTTGCTCTACTCCAAACTCAAGAACGGAAAACGAAATGTTGGTGGACAGGAAAAGTGATTTAAAGATGGGCTCAAAGCCAACCTTTAAAACTTTGGCATATACAGTGAGAACTGGGAAGCCCTGGCCCTTGAGTGCTCCAGCTGGAGGTCAGCTGTGACCAGCAGTGCTGCAGAATTTGAAGAGGCACGAATGGAGGGTGAAAGAGAGAAACGTGCCAAGAGGAAGGCGTGCCAAGCCAACCCCATTCGAGACCGCCTTCCACCTGGAAACCAATGCGCTCACTGCGGAAGAAGATGCAGATCAAGAATAGGGCTCCACAGTCACCTAAGAACCCACCACCAGGACACCGAACTTGGAGGGCCATCATCCTCGGACTACGAGGGTTCGCCTAAGTAAGTAAGTAAAATAGCAGAGTACCAGAAGTAAACTTCATAACCAGCAGAAACTTGCAGGTGGTGAAACTGGGATAAGCTTCTATTCTTAGGATGGCACAGGATTGCAAAGTCAGAAATTTGGGTTCAAAAATATTTATTGAAGTAAAAGCTTA